TAAAGTCAATGTAAATTTTAGATAACTTATTTATTTATATAGTAATAATCATTCCCCGATGCATGTTTAGACCAAAATTCTGAGTGAAATGATTTGGGAGCTCTAATTTGTAGATACTATTGAATATCGACCATCAAAAAAAATATTTTATCTCACAAATATCCTATAATTCAATAATGATAAAATACATTTTCGTTACATGCCTTTCAAGTAAGGAAAAAAATCGACATAATTCAACTATCGAACGAAAAAGCTTCGATACAAGCCCCCAATATCTCCGAAGTTCTACATCATTTTGACGTAAAATTTATACCAAAATAATCATCAACATTTGCTTAAATTATACCATGATTTTTACTTTTTAAATCATCACTACAATTTTTAATGAATTAAATAAAAGTACTATATATTTCACTGCACCGGCCATCGGAATTCGCGCGAGCGCTTGTCGAGGTTGAACCTGTCATTTGATTTCGCGCGCTCCGTCTCGTTTCGATATTATCGTAGTGTGCGTTGGTGCCGTTATAGGCGCTGCAATTTTGGCCTGTGTTCCGAAATAGAACTCAACTACGGTCGCAGTTTTTGATCGCTGGAAGTATTTACTTTCGTACAGTATATTTCAATTAGTATAAAGTTCACACATTATTATTATAATACCAGATAGTAAATTCATTATAGTTATTTCGATTGTAGCAGAGCTTTCTTACCAGTCGGAATGGGGGAAATAAATACAAATATCAATGTGTCTCTAAACGTAAAAAAAGAAATATCCTATTTCTGGAGAAAAAATAATGAAGAATAAAAATGACTGCATGCTTGCCATATGACCTGGCCCAGATTATACAGGTAAAGTACTAAAAATCTACAGAGACGACAAATTTTGGATTTTAAATATGTTACACAAGTTACAAGCGTTTTATAAAGTGTTTACTGCCTGAAATTATTGACTCGAGTTAAGCTCGGTCAATGCCGTTGCGGCAAATATTTTTATAATAAAAAAAATATGGTAATTGACTGTAATTACCGATTAAAAATATTAGTTACAGTTGGTTATTTTATTTATTAACCGTAAAACGGCAAGCGTCCTCGATATTCGTCAAAATTCAAGAGGTCAAATGTGACCGCACCCCACTTTAACCCATCAATACTTATGTTAGAGACTACTTTTCTATGAAGAAGTTTGGCATTATAGCTAACGAGCTTAGAGTTCGTGACAATAAAAACTGCCGATTGAATTACCAAAATTGATACTTTAATTCACTTTACACTAATTAAAATTTAAAAGACACTAATAATTAATCACTCTTAACACTTCAGTTCACTTTATTTCGCTCCTAAGTCTTCACTTGTATCGGCAATTCAATACTGCCCCGGTCGCAGCTCTAAACGGCTTTATATAGGCCTTTTCCACCGAAATATCTAGAATCTAGACATCTATAATGTTCCAGCAAATACCGGTCCCGACCGACTAGGTGTAGAAAGTTTGAATGTGTAGTTTCCTAGAAAGCTTAGTTCTTCTATTCGTTACTAGATGGCGCTAGTGAGAGATTTCTAGAAAATTCTTGACGCTACTATTTCTGCACTTGATACTAGATATAATCAGCCGCTATATACCGCGCATAAATCATGGCACGCAACAATAGAATCAATATGAAATTTTCTATCCTCTAGTGGAATAAAAAGTCAGTTAGTTTAAGGATTTCGTACGCCATTTTCGTTTGAATGTCATTGTGTTAATTTTTGGATTTTTTAAGTGTTTTATTAGTGTTTTAGTATAGTGTTTTATTATATCATTGTAAGTAAGGTTACGTTTTGTGTGAACATAATTTATGTTTTAACGTAAATAAATTCGAGTAATATATAAAGAAATAATTGTGATTTTCACGCTGCCGACATCCGCTTGGTATTTTTTTATTATTAAAATACAATAACATTTTTTTTGTAATGAAGTTAAACCTGACTTTTGTTTACACCTGAATTTGACTAGAATTTTATATTGCCAAACTTCTTCATAGAAAAGTAGTTTCTAAATATAAGTTTTAATGGTAGAAAGTGCTGTGGGTGGGTGCGGTCGCATGCGACCGCTCGGGATATGCCGGACGCATGCGAATGCATGGAATTTTTATGGGGATTGAAGGGTTAAAACAGGTTGCAACCGTACTATTTAATTATTTATACCACTATGATATCGTTAGTAGATACAATCGATTACTAACCAACATCGGTTAACAAGATACTGCAGAACAATTAAAATATTTATGTGTACTTATGTCAACACTAAGGTTCATAAATAATGAAAAATATATCAAATAGATTATAATAAATTAGTTAGATAACATATAAATGACACACCAAAAACTTTCCATCCACTGAACTTCATCCTAAGAAAACTTGTATAATGAGATAAGATCAAGATCGTTTGGTCACTATACGTACATATACACGTACGAGCGAGTGAATATATATGAAATAAAGTATCGCTAGCGTAGGTCGTCGCCCGCTCGGTGCGTAAATTACCTAAATTTGCGTAACGCCGAAATGTAAGAGGGCACCTATAGCTCTCACCGTGTACATGTGGCCTCACTGCACTCCACAAAATAAAACAATTATTATACAGCAAGCAAATATTGTTTTCAAATGCAGGGAAATTGTAAGAAAACAAATTAATAACTATATATGGCATTTATTTAATATTTTCTTTTCTATAAAATCCAACTTCAATATTCTCTTCAACATAATAACCACGTGCAACAACAATATAATTTTAAGGTGTTTTAAATAATCGATAAAATAAATCACCATAACAATTTGTTTTACAAAATTTCATATTATGAGTTTCAATATATTTTGCACTTTTATAAATTATTCACAAAATGTTCGTGAAATCTATGTAATCATAATTTTATTATACTTATGTACCAAATGAAATTGACGCAACTTTACCATTAAGACAGTTGGCGGTTTATTAAAACAAATTGTTCGAACTTTAAACCTGATTGTCATTAAGAACTTGAAATCACTTAACGTTTAGAAAAACCGCCAAATTACAAAGAGTGCATTATTCAAGATCTACTTCGCAATGCCTTCCATACTTAAGTATATGTCTTGCAGTTTTGCGTTTAAAACATTTAGAAGTTTATTCCTTTCCGTTTCGTCGTAAAAAAGATCCGGCTCAACAGACCAAGTTTTAAATGATGCAAAAGAGCGACCATGTCAGTCTTATATTATCTTAAATAGTTAACATACAAAAACGAATTATACCTATGAGACCTACGACCTGCGGCCATGAATTTAAATTAGTATTCTCAGGCCATGCTATTAAATGCCAAAAAAGTCATCAATTTAAATTAATAACACTTCGCTAAAACGTTAAAATATATATTTGATTTTCATACATTGTTAGTGTAAACAGTCTCATTAGTAGCTGCAAGTAGTGTTCATTTAGCAGCTCATGAATTACGACTACAAAGTTTAACATCTGCGAATTACAATGACACGTCGAATGGAATGATCAAGTGCTTTAACTAATCTCAAAGACAACTTTGTTCGATATTTCTTACTTCTTAATATGTAAATAAACTAAAATAACCATAACATTTTTTTTCTTTTATTCATTACAGCCTATCAAAAGTCCGCTGCTTTACATGGTCTCTACCACTGATTGACATAAAAGTTAAAGTTACAGCCTATTACGGCCCACTGCTGGGTACAGAGCTCCTCTCATTTCTGAGAGGGTTTTAGGGCAAGTGTCCGCTTAGCTGCCCCAATGCGTGCTGGCGAACTTCACGTCTTCGAAATATTTTTTTCTTTTTTCGCAGACATGCAGGTTTCCTCACGATGTTTTAACTTAACCGCCGAGCTCGTGGTAAATCAGAACTTAAAATTGCAATTAACAATTTCATTGGTGCCGGCGGGGATCGAACCCGGTTTGCTCACATACTGTGGAATTTACAGTGAGCGCTAACAATCTGAGCTACCACGACTTTAACTAAGCAATAAATATTCATAATATTTTAGAAACGATTATGTAATTACGTGATATATATATATATATATATATATATATATATATATATATATATATATATATATATATATATATAGCTGCTTTTCATACTCAATTATTTGCTATATTCGTAAGCTCTTTCTTATATAGCGTTTTCATAAAGCATATAAATAACATCTGAGAGTAGTTTATTTCATCAATTCAATGTTCAATTTTAATTTCAATATTGAATACTTTACAATGCAATTGTTCTTTAAAACATCGCTTGTTCAACAACAATTTACGATATTACAAACATGATTATATATAAATAGAAATAATATAAATACGTGTTGAAAAATCTGACTGAATAATCACGTGTCACGCGTACACTCTCGATTAAGACTTTGAATCTAGTGCACTGTATTTTTTACATTTTAAACATCGTTTTTTATATCTTAGTAGCACGCAAATAATACCTCTAGCTAAAAAGAAAGAAGCCAATTTTTCTTAATGACAGACAGACAGTTCAATTTTGTTTGTGTGTAGATATGGATAAACATGTTTTATTTTTAACAATTTTTATTATGTTCCGAGATTATGTTCTCAAAGAATAAAAGTAGTAAATACTTCCAAATTAGTATTTTCTAATAAATGTATACCGTTTTTTTTTCAAAACAGCAAGAATGGGCTCAAAATTTTTGTTCGAGTTCTCAGGAAACTTGATGGGGAGGGAAGATTTTGGAGAAGAAGCCCAGTGTAAGGCGGCCCCCTACTAAATGGAGTAACGACCTCATGCGGCATGCTGGTGCACATGGGGACTCCAGATCTAAACTTTGCTTTATATATTATTTGGGCGAATACGGAAATAAATGCTATTCACGTGTTTTTGAAAATATTACAAGAGTTCATTTTATTATTCTTAGTTTCTTTTCGAAATAGCTGCAATTTATTTATTTTAATACTTTGACAATTCATATTCAGTTTATTCGAAGAATCCGTTCTCAGAGTCCTGTCATGTGATGAGATACGCCGGCTCGCACTTGCAGTCTTCGTCTGACTTTAGCTGAAATATACATTAATGTGGTTTATATTTTGAACTTTTAACACAACAATTTATTTATAAGTTTGCAACGTTTTAGTTTAAAAACAATAAGTCAATATACGTGTTATGTGTACAATTGAAACAGAAACTATTTTATTCAATATAGATTATAAACAATATTTATTTGAGTCACTCTTATGGTTAATTTACCACTGGTTGGGAATGCACCTGTCCTGAAGGAGAACCGACAAAAATGCGTTATTTTCTTTGCGAAAAATTTTGTTTAAAAAAAAAGAACGGTTAACAATCATTAATATACAGCGTGTTCCTCCGTACAGTGCAACCCTTAAAGGGGGTGGAACTAGACCACAAATTATCGAGAAAAAAATATTTATATTTTACTTTTTATTGACGATAATGATTTCTTATATTTACGCGAACATTGCACATGATTAAAACTACTTTTACGGATTTTATCGCGTTTATTTTTACTTTTTATTTTTAATTCCCGACGTTTCGGGCGCTTTCCAGCACCCATGGTCACGGGGGACTGAGATGACTGACGTCCCGATGTCATTGTTAAACCCGGAGTACCTTCAGCTTTTTTAATTATTGTTTATGGTCCGATCTATGCAAAATGAACTGACTATGTCCTGAGGTCTTGTAGTGGTATGCTTGGGTTTAGTTTTAATTTTATTGATTATAGGATCCCAAGCAGGTGGTAGCACCCAGCCTCCTTCTCTATTGAAATTAGGATGTTTTTTAACTTCAATAGCCTCACGTATCATCCTTGGTAGGAATCGGTGTTCTTTCGCGAGGATTTGTGGTCTATTTATACATCCATATATAATTACATCAGATTTGATAGACCACAAATCCTCGCGAAAGAACACCGATTCCTACCAAGGATGATACGTGAGGCTATTGAAAATAAAAAACATCCTAATTTCAATAGAGAAGGAGGCTGGGTACTACCACCTGCTTGGGATCCTATAATCAATAAAATTAAAACTAAACCCAAGCATACCACTGCAAGACCTCAGGCCATAGTCAGTTCATTTTGCATAGATCGGACCATAAACAATAATTAAAAAAGCTGAAGGTACTCCGGGTTTAACAATGACATCGGGACGTCAGTCATCTCAGTCCCCCGTGATCATGAGTGCTGGAAAGCGCCCGAAACGTCGGGAATTAAAAATAAAAAAGTAAAAATAAACGCGATAAAATCCGTAAAAGTAGTTTTAATCGTGTTTTTATTGACGAATTAAGATTGTTATATTTTATACAGACTCTATATACAAAAAGAAACGATTTCTTCTAAAATGACTCGATTACTTTTAAATTGAAATATTATGCTACGTATTTAGTGATAAGGATAAAATAACAATTAGCTCCCAAATAAAGTGACGTCATCACTTTAACTTTGCTTTTCGTGAAAAATATTCCATTTATTACAACTATTCTTTCAATGATCTCTAATTTTATCAGAATTATATGCCCCCAATACCAGAAAATATTATGATTTATTACTATTCTCTAACATATTGCCCTTACAATATTAAAAAGAAACTATGTTGCAGCCCAAAAACACTGGCTATGAGGTGTTAACATTTCACCATTGAAAGATTTTGATTAAAAGTTTTAATCAAGTCACAAGTAAGTACATAATTTTATTACAGTTCTTATAACTAATGCACTAACTGCTGAGAATGCCCTCTTCGTTGCTGGAAGCACATTGCCGTACGAAGAGCAATTTGTATTGCAGCTCTATGAACCATACCTGGGTCACTGGATAACTTCAAACAAGAAACATTACAGGTGCGTTGTCACCTCTGACGACTTAGATGTAATACCTCACATTATTCACTATCCACCCTTCAGGCCGTCAATTATTAGGGCAAACCCTTGCCATAGCGGGAGACTCATGTCCAGTAATACTTTTATTAGCTGGTGAAGTAAACAAAATTTTATATAAGAAAATTTTATAAAAAATTGTAATATCGTGAGTGTCACGGTATTTTAGTTATGATGTTGGTATTGGTAAAAATATTGGTGTTAATAATTATATAGGTAATGATGTCGGTGTTGATGATGGTTTTAGTGATGACGTTATTGATGTTCGTTATTGTAACGGTTTGGTATTAGTAATTATATCGGTGTTAGTAATGATTTTAGTTTAGGTAATGATATTTATTTTGGTAATTACGCTGGTCTTGATAATTATGTTGGCGTTAGAAATGATGATGTTGTTGGTAATGACGTTGGTGGTGATAAAGCCGGTGCGCACCATGAGGAAGTGATGTAGCGCCAGGTCGTGCGCTCGCGGTCTCAGTTCGGGGTCGTGCGTGAGGCAGCGCCGGCAGAACTCCTGCCCCTCCTCCGACAGGCTCGCGGGGATTTCCGGCCGTCCACCCATGCCCACCACGAACATGATCTGATAGTTGCTGTCGTACTCGGAAAACGGACGCTGTCGGGGATCAAGATACAAAAAAATATTGTAATGATTTATTTTATTACAATTTCAATATTTTTAGAATGACTATTTAATAGTTTACCGATATTTAAGGCAGTTACACAAAAATAATTAAGATATTAAATTACTTTAACCCATTTGGACCCAATTTAATACTACAAGAAAATTTTAAGTCCTGGAGGCTATTAAGAGATTTTACCGCATCAAATAAAATAAACTTCCTTCTGTATAAAAAAACGCCGTCTTTAAATGGGGCCAATGGGTTTATGTGTGGTATTTTTCAAAACATCCTTTTTCGATGCACAATGCTTTGAAGCAACTTTTACATTGCGAATGTGCTTTCATATGACATTCTACACATGGTAGCTGACTTGGCAGTCGCTGAGAGGTGTTCAACGCCAACAAGACTCATACTAGGCACTGCTGAAGAAGGTTTACGACGCCTTCCATCGGGTCATTCAGTGACTACAGCCCTTATGTAGAAACGAGCGATACATCTGCTGAACTGGAGCTGGTCTAGTTTGTCTTCAATGGTTAAAACATGGAGACGCTAAACATTAGCTACAGTCAAATCGAACATGTAGGTACACAAAACCCACCACCATTTTTGTCTCGTATAGCTGTCTAAGCTATAAATAAGATATAAATATATTGAGATTGCCTGGTCGGCTTGATCAACTCCGCCCATGGTTTTGTTGTAATCCTGGAACACAAAAGGACTGTCCACATCAACCTTTCTTCCTCCTGCAGAGCTCCATCTTCTTGCTTTGCCCACAGGGTAAACAAAGTCGTAATTTGTACCCATAATACAAGCACTGTTGTCAAGCCATCACACAAACAAAATTTGATTGATTGTATTGTGTTGAATCGGTGGTCAAATTCAGCGCGGTTTTTCTTTTTTATGTCCTTGATAGTAAGCAGTTTTCACAATATTCAGAACTTCAAACGATCGCTTAAAAATCATTACTCGACTCAATTAAGGAATCACCGGTCTTATGCATGATCTCAGATATCATGCTTCCACTATACACTTTTGATAAAAAGTATATAGTGGAATTACCCTCCAGAGAAGACTGGCTGAATGGCCAGGTTATCTGTGAGGTCGGTAGCCTCATATGGTATACCGATGGGTCTAATATGGGCCTCGACGTAGGCTTTGGAATTTACGGGGAACGCCCCAAATTCAAATTTAGTATGAATTTGGGTAGATACACCTCTATCTTTCAGGCAGAAATTTTCGCCATACTTCGGTGTGCGGAAATCAATCTGCAAAAACACTACGTCAACCATAAAATTTACATAAACTCTGATAGTCAAGCAGCACTGCTAGCGCTCAGATCAAATTTAGTGAACTCAAAGCTAGTTGGAGACTGCGTGAACCGTTTAAACGCCCTGGGTTGTAACAACAGGGTCGTTTTAAGATGGGTTCCGGGTCACGAGGGCATTGTAGGCAACGAATTTGCCGACAAACTCGCACGGGAGGGCTCAAAGTGCACACAATTTGGACCCGAGCCATTTTGTGGAATCTCAAGAACCCTAGCCCGATTGACCCTTGAAACTCTTTATCACAATAAATCACTTAAGATCTGGTCTGACACACCAGGCTTAAAACATTCTAAAACCTTAATCCGGGCTTTTGATCGTAAATTCGCTTCAGAAGCCTTGGGATTAAGTAAAAATAAATTGCGCATTCTGGCAAAAGCGCTAACTGGAAACTGTTGTCTTAAAAAGCACATGTCCATCCTGGGACTAAGCAACTCAAGGATGTGTCGGTTCTGTTCCATAACGGAAGAAACGCCTCTACACATCCTAACCGATTGCGTACCCTTAATGCGCAAACGTAACACTCATCTGGCACACTATCTACTCCACCCAGAAGAAGTGAAATTGCTCACGGCTAAGCAACTCCTTCAATTCATTGAAGACATAGGGCTTAGCGGTGAACTATAGCCATAGCAGCGATCATAATAGATCTTTTAGGTCGCAGTGATACTGGTCTCTTTACCTAGACCTGCATAGCTGCTCGCACATAATAAAAAAAAATAATCATTGCTCACGCCCTAAGTGAATATGCGAATAAAAAATAAAATATATTATCAATAAGCCCATTGGACCCACGTGGGGACACCATACTAAAATACCTCCACTTATAGGTAAATCTCAGAAAATACCTGATATAACAGCATTTTTTACTTGTAGAAAATATGGCCAAGAGAAAATACTAAAGAAAAAAACTAAATACCAACGTAACCATAAAAAAAAATAACTCACCTTTGGTCAAACACTTAATTTCTCGATGATGTCAAAAAATTATTAAAATTATCCACTTTAGCCAAAAAAATTGCTAAACTATAAGTTGTATTACAAAGCCCCACTCTTTGGCACTACAAATTCGTCTACAAACAAAAGATACCTAAAATAACTTAAAAAATATGAGTACTCAAAAAAGTGGCACAAAAGGGGACAGCGGGCGTAAAAGATATTGAATTTTAGATCGGTATACCGATCCTCCACTGTTAATAGCTTGTTTTGGTTTGTTGGAAAACGATAATTTTTATTCGATATGGATTAAAAGAATATTTATTGAAATTATTTAAGCTTTAACAGTAGCTCGGAAAAAAATAAAAGTCACCACTATGGATTTTTGTTTTTTACTTTATGAAGACTGGCTGTTCTGCTGTGGTTTTGACATGAATACAGAAGCAATTCAGAAAACTGATGATAATAAAATCGGAGGATACAGTTTCGTGTTGCAGCTACATATCTATCATTTACATGCACTATTCAATTGCACCACTCGATAACTGAAGGATCAAAGAATTCGTTACGTTGAGTGAGGACTGTGACGCATCGCGCGTGGTATAGGGGGCAGTGTCGCCCTTTTGAGGTCGCTTCGTTACGTACACGTATTCACGTCACATCACGTCTCCCGGGCCACCCCAAACGTCTCACTCAGCACAGCTCCCAAACTCCCCCCAAACTCCCCCCCTCAGCGCAGCGTACTACCTCTCCCTCAGCCAGCGTACGTACCTTGCTGGACGTCTCCTTCAGCGCAACGTACGTACATTGCTGGACGTCTCCCTCAGCGTAGCGTACGTACCTTGGTGGACGTCTCCCTCAGCGCAGCGTACGTACCTTGCCGGACGCCATCTCGGCGACGACGCAGCCCAGCGACCAGATGTCGGCGCCGCGCCCGTGCCCCGACGACTTCATGAACACCTCGGGCGCCATGTACGCTGCACCACAAACACACAATTCTTAACCACTCATCCTATTTTATAAAAGTAAGGGGTTGATTTTTAATAAATAATAGAGATCTTCCGGCCACAGAAAACTTTTTAATAAATGCAAATATAAATATCAGTACATTTAAACACATTGCAATGGTGGCGTCATAAGATAATACATCACCATTCGGTCTCGTTAGCATTATAAGAGTTTTTTTATTCAATAAGGGAAAAGCTTTTTTTAATAACACACACAGTCCACCTGATGGTAAGTGGTTGCTGCGGCCCATAGACATCTACATCTATCCTCGATTGCGAATTAAAATGCAGATGCGTTTTCACCCGTGAGGACTCAGATGGAATGTCTCGTTTCCAATAAAAAGGGTCCCCGGTTCTCTACGCTAATCATATGAAGAACAGCAGCGTCCTTTCCCGGTGGAGCCGACTCATTCGTTCAACAACTACACTCCTTATGGAGCTGCAACGTGGCTCTACCACATATGTACGGTCGCTTAAACAGAAGATTTAGCGAGCGTTTAAATTAGCAGAAAGTCTTGTCTATAGCCAATCCGCCAGCCAAACATAGTAATTACGTGCCATTATCTATATTTTATATTTTTAAAAAAAAAAAAAAAAAAAAAATACTAATCTACATGTTATATTAAAATTATAGATAAAAAAAAAAAAAAAAATTTATTTATATATAAAAGAAAAAAAAAAAAAAAAGAGGAGAAAAAGAAAATAAATGGTTACTTTGTCAGGCCTTAAATATACAAATTATTGATGGTGAAGTTGCAAGGCAACTAATGCCGTGACGGCTGATTACCTGCCTGATCTATTGATATCCACACATCGTCTAGGTCAGTGATTCCCAAAGTGGTCTATATCGACCCCTAGGGGTCTATGACAACCTGCAAGGGGTCTACGTCAGCGAAAAAAATTTTGGGGGTCCATGAAATGAAAATGGGGGTCCACGATAGTGGATCTCAACACATACACTGATAGTACCTATTTACTTACATCATACTATCTTATAATATCAAAACATATACATTATTTATAAAAGTACCTATGAAGTAAAAAATGTATTATATATGTTTATAAAATTGTGTAAGTTGTAGGATGTTGGTTCGCTTTGTGGTCGCAATACATTTTGAGGTTGTAAAAACCTGAGAGTCGCAGTCTCAGAGCTTCGCTACCTTGCACTGACTTGTTCAATTCGTCACTCTATAAATACGAATGTGGGACAAATAAGTTTATTCGTTTTCTGAATCTTGAAAAGGAAAGTGCTAAGAAAATATTTTAAAAAATATAAGCAGATAGTATATCACACAAATTATAGTGAGTCAGTGTTATTTTGTTTGAGAGTGCTGGAGAAAAGTAAGTACATTATTTTTTATTAAATTTTAGTTTTGTACTCGTAGTCAGCAAAGATGGATAAATTACGCCAATCATGACTTTAGTTATTAGTAGTTTAATATTCAATCATGCAAAATTACACGAGTACTCCTCAATAGTTTCTTTTTGAAAGTTTTAGCAATCGGTATTAGAATTACAGTGCAATCTCCGTAATTCGAGATAATTGTTGCAAGAAGATGTTCGAATTATGGAATGTTTTCGGAAAAATCAAAAAAATATTCTTAATATACAGCTGCTGGATTTTCCGTCTTATTTAAATAACTTAATTTTGCCCACAGATGACTGATGCCATGTCCGAATCTAAAAAGAAATGTAGACAGTACAGTGTCGACTATTTTAAATTTGGCTTCATTCCATCATTGCCGGACAAACAATTGCCAATGTGCCTTTTATGCAACAAAGTTTTGGGCAATGACGCTATGAAACCACCTAAACTGCAAGATCATCTGAGAAGATGCCACCATGCTAAAACAGAGAAAGATTTGAAATACTTTCAAACACTCAAAGATAAACTTCAGAAGAGACCTACACTGGACAGAATGTTCGCTTCGACGTCACAAAGAAATGATGATGGTTTGCGGGCGTCTTACAATATCTCGTTACTTATAGCAAAATCCGAAAAACCGCAGTACTATCGGAGAGAAGTTAATTTTGCCAGCCGTTGAAGAGGTTTTAAAAACTGTTTTACACAAACCTGCATCTGAAATCATTAAAAGAATTCCCTTAAGCAACCATACTGTTGAAAGACGTATTGATGAAATGAGTTCTGATATTGAAAGCTTCTTACGTAATTATTTGCAAACGACCCATTTCTCTCTACAACTGGACGAGTCAACTTTACCTGATAATGTAGCATTATTATTGGCATATGTTCGTTTTATTATGAATCAAGAAATCTACGAAGAACTGCCCTTCGCAAGAACTTTGATAACCGACACTAAAGGTGAATCAATATTTCATGTTTTGAAGGATTACTTCATTGAAAAAGCAATTCCTTTATCAAATATAATATCAGTAGCTACAGATGGAGCACCTGCCATGGTTGGACGTTATCGTGGATTTATAAGCTATTTAAAACAAAATGTGTCAGGGGTGTTAGCAATACATTGCGTCATCCATCGACAACATTTAGTTGCTAAAAATTTGAGTGTTAGATTGCATGAATCACTTCATTTAGTCATTGATGCAGTAAACCGAATCCGAAGCAACGCGTTGAATACGCGGTTATTTGCGCAGTTGTATGAAGAAAATGACGAACACTTTCATCAATTACTCCTTCACACTGAAGTACGCTGGCTGTCGAAAGGCTTATGTTTGACAAGATTTTTTGCACTTTGTGAGGCTATTTTAGAATTTCTGGATACTAAAGATAAAATTTTAAAAGAAAATTTAATGAAGACAAAAACAGACATCGCCTATTTAACAGATTTGTTTACAAAATTTAATATGGTTAATTTGCAATTACAAGGCGACAGTTTAAATTTGATTAAAACAAAGTCCATTTTAACAGCGTTTCTTGCCAGAGTTAAACTAATGAAGCAAAATATTTGACGGGGCGAATTTTCTCAGTTCCCCAATTTGTCACAGACAAGCTGCCAGGAAGACGACGTTTCAACTTACGTTCAACATTTAAATGCCCTCTACTCAGATTTTGAATCTAGGTTTGAGGATATTTTGACTATGGTAATACCACCGTGGATAATTAATCCATATGGTGACATAGAAGAAACGAATGTCATAATACAAGAAGAACTGACTGAACTAAGTACAAACGAAGAACTTAAGGTTCAGTTTAAAAACGGATATCAGCAATTCTGGCTGCAAAACAACATACCCGTCGTCGTATTATGGAATATAGCGAGAAAATTTTTAATTTAATTGATAGAATCAGGCGTTACTTTGCGGAAATCCATTATAATAAAAAATAAAAATATAAATTTCTTTGCAACTTTCCGCTAAACATATAAAATGATGTGTATTACCTGGATTGAAGCGCACAATAATAAATTATTAATAATAATAACCGTTGGCAGGTTTGTTATCGCACGACGCGGTCACTCGCTACTTTGGTAGGGAGCGATTGTGTCAGCGTGTATAAATAGCAACTGTTTCGACTCGCCGCTCACTTAGCGGTCAGCCACCGTAGAGTCTAATATTACCTGAGGATGCCTCGTGTAGAGGCGAAACACGTGTCGTATTATCGTCGATGGTGTGTCTTGCCTGGAATAGTGGTGTTGAGAGTAGTGGTGCTTGGTCTAGTGGTGACGGAGTTAGTGTATGCAATTGAGGGAGGGCGGGAGGTGCGCTTCAATCCAGGTAAGACACATCATTTTATATGTTTAGCGGAAAGTTGCAAAGAAATTTATATTTTTATTTTTTATTAAAATTTTTAATTTCCTTTCCATCGTCATACCTAGTGGAAAGGGGGTTCAGCGCTGTTACCAATCTCCTAACGAAAAAAAGAAACAGACTGGACATCATTAGCCGAGGAGATTTAAGATTAACGCTTACAAAATTGACGCCAAATATTTTTAAAATTATTATTAAAGCATCAGGTTCATCCTTCTCACTAAAAATATTGACTTATTGCTTATGTTATTTTATTTATAGTTTATTTTATGTTTATTTAATGCTACGTATATTTTACATAACAGATACAAAATTTTATTTTGAGTAGTTTTAATTTAAATTCAATTAATCAATGTATAAATTAACATGTGTTTTTACTTTAAGTTTTTAACACTAAACTTCACTACAGTTAGAAATTTACAGGAAATCAATATCAGGTAAGTAGGGGGTTGTGTGTTTTTCCGTGTCTACCCAACACGGAAAAACTAGGCAAGGGGTCTACGACACAAAAAAGTTTGGGGAACTCTGGTCTAGGTGGTAGGACTGCTTCTCTACTGGAGAGTCCTTCTGGGTAAGCACCAGCCTTTTACCTATTCCTGCCACCAACAACAGTGCTTCCATTGCTGTTTTCCAGCTTCAAGAGAATATATAGGCTCTGACGCATTCCATAGTATTCCTCAGGTGACAACGCTCCTGTACCTTTCTTTGTTTGAAGTTGAGTGCAGTTGTCCACGGCCAGCAGTAACCACTTTCCATCAGGCGGACTATAAGTTCGCCGCAAGCAGACTTCTATAATTTCAGAGAAGTTTATGCAGCAATTAGTTCGCATCGCTGCACTAGTGCATGCCGGCGAACTTAACACACCTTGAAATATTTTGTCCCTTACATATGAAGCTTTACACTTTGAATTAACACAAATAAAATATTCTTATACCGAACACAACATACATTAACATTGTGATTGTGGTGCGCTTGCAGTCTCGCAGCGCATCGCCTGGCAGGGTCGCCATGTGTTGTTGGAAGGGTGTTAATGAAGGGGACGTGGTGCTTAGTTTAAGACTTTAATTATACTGCTCTTTAAACTAATGTTGTCATGTTGACTGCTCTTCATGACATGTTTCAAAGAGCTAAACTGACTAATTCACTCACTCGCTCACTACTGACTAGCTAACTCACCCTGCGTGCCGACGAAGCCCTGCAGCTCACCGGGCACGGTTGAATTGCTACGGATCTTCACAGCGCACCCGAAGTCACCGAGCTTTAGACAGTGACCCTCGTTTGTAAGAAAGATGTTGCCACCTATCGCGCCCAAATAAACAACATTTATTATCAATTTATTCAAGATATTCCACACAGTACTAGGCTGCACTAAAAGTATCGGGAATGGAATATTTCCACTGTTCCTGTCATATTAAAATCTTTTTAATTGAAAACTCCTTGGTTTTAAAAATCGAATACCATTTTTATTTACTTAAAAAAAGATTATCGGTCTTATCACAAGGTTTTGTCAAACTTGTTTAGTCGTTGAGAAAATGGAATTGACTCGAGAAAATTCAAGAGCGATGATTTATTATGACTTTCGAAGTGGTTTAACACAAAAACAGCGTGTTGACCGGATGATTTTTGCATTTGGTGATGAAGCCCCATCCAAAACCACAATTTATCGCTGGTTTGCTGAATTTCAACGTGGACGTGAAAACTGCAGTCACCCAAGAAAACGTTGATGATGTGCGTAAGCTGATTGAGGAAGATCGACATGTGACATACCGCGAAATTCAGGCAACTTTAGACATTGGCATGAGTCAAATACCAATAATCTTGCATGATAAATTAGGTGTAAAAAAGTTGTTTTCCCGATGGATACCGCATTCGCTCTGTGAAGAGCAAAAAGTGGCTCGCGTTACTTGGTGCGTCAGAACTCTCGAAAGATTCCACGCAGGATCCTCAAATGCTGTACACAACATCGTATCAGGTGACGAATCCTGGATATATGCGTACGAACCCGAAACAAAAAACCAGTTACGAGTTTGGGTGTTCGAAAATGAGTTAAAGCCAACAAAAATTGTTCGTTCACGGAGTGTTGCAAAAAAAATGGTGGCCACGTTTGTCCATTCACCATTCCATTCGGAAGTTGGGGTACTTCCGAATGGAATGATTGTTTCAATGATTGGTTCCATCGTATGGAAAAATGTGTCAAATTTCGCGAATACTTCGAAAAGCAATAAATACATTGTTAAATAGTAATGTTATATCACTTCACAGTTCTCAAAACAGGAGCAGAAGGTAGACAAAGGAATCCATGCACCCATTAATGCTTATTAAAGCCACTGCTGAACATAGGCCTCGCCCATAGATTTGCTCCTAGGGACAATTTTGCCATAGTTGCCACGCTTGGCGGGCGGGTTGGCAACCGCAGTTTTTTTTTATTATTTTGTGTTGGTATCAGGATGATGTTGCCGGCCATCGCTTGTTTTAATTTCTTTCTGTGGCCTCTTACGAGTACCGCGCGCATCTCTCGAGATTCGGTCCGTATGACCTGAGGGTCGGTGGAGCCATGGGAGGTGGTGGGTTGTCGCCTCTTACGAGTACCGCGCGCATCTCTCGAGATTCGGCCCGTATGACCTGAGGGTCGGTGGGGCCATGGGAGGTGGTGGGTTGTACCCTCTTACGGCGCCCACGGGACGACATCGGCCACTACACGGTATAGACAAGGAATATCACAAAATAAATCCAATATTCCTTTTTTAAATTTGCTTGATTGAAATGAAGTATTTCTGATCACAATGTTTTAGACAGCTCTTATGATTTCTTTATTAATAGATCGATTTTTTTAAAGCTGATATTATACTACCGAACCGCTATTGTATGCCGACCATAAAACCCGTGAGCTGGTGATCGTATTCAGAGCGTTACACGTACAATGTACGTGTAACGCTTTGTGCACACTGCCGCCTGTTTAGAGCGATAAATAGTAAGAATTAAACGGTATAATGCAGTATAAAATATGAGAGCTTAATATAATAAACAGGACTGACTCTTAATGTCGCGATGCGCGATGCCTCTAGAGTGCAGCTCTTGTACAGCGCTGAGGAGCTGCTTGGTGTAACGGCGCACGGCCGGCTCGTCCAGTGCACCAGAAGCACCCAGCAGTGCCTCCAGGGAACCTTCAACGCACAGCTCCATAAACAGCAGCATCTCCTCCTGCACGGCAAACACACAATGTTACCTGCTGCGTACGCGGCACACGACACAAGGTGCGGGTGCAGCACGTGTGCAGCAGTGTGCAATGTGTGTGCAACGCACGCGGTGCAGCTCACAGCCGTAGTACCGCACGAGGTGCGGATGCAGCACGTGTGCAGCAGAGTGCAATGTGTGTGCAACGCACGCGGTGCAGCTCGCAGCCGTAGTACCGCACGAGGTGCGGGTGCAGCACGTGTGCAGTAGAGTACAATGTGTGTGCAACGCACGCGGTGCAGCTCGCAGCCGTAGTACCGCACGAGGTGCGGGTGCAGCACGTGTGCAGTAGAATGTGCAATGTGTTGCAACGCACGCGGTGCAGCTCGCAGCCGTAGTACCGCACGAGGTGCGGGTGCAGCACGTGTGCAGTAGAGTGCAATGTGTGTGCAACGCACGCGGTGCAGCTCGCAGCCGTAGTACCGCACGAGGTGCGGGTGCAGCACGTGTGCAGTAGAGTGCAATGTGTGTGCAACGCACGCGGTGCAGCTCGCAGCCGTTGTACCGCACGAGGTGCGGGTGCAGCACGTGTGCAGCAGTGTACAATGTGTGTGCAACGCACGCGGTGCAGCTCGCAGCCGTAGTACCGCACGAGGTGCGGGTGCAGCACGTGTGCAGTAGAGTGCAATGTGTGTGCAACGCACGCGGTGCAGCTCGCAGCCGTAGTACCGCACGAGGTGCGGGTGCAGCACGTGTGCAGTAGAGTGCAATGTGTGTGCAACGCACGCGGTGCAGCTCGCAGCCGTAGTACCGCACGAGGTGCGGGTGCAGCACGTGTGCAGCAGTGTACAATGTGTGTGCAACGCACGCGGTGCAGCTCGCAGCCGTAGTACCGCACGAGGTGCGGGTGCAGCACGTGTGCAGCAGTGTACAATGTGTGTGCTACGCACGCGGTGCAGCTCGCAGCCGTAGTACCGCACGAGGTGCGGGTGCAGCACGTGTGCAGCAGTGTACAATGTGTGTGCAACGCACGCGGTGCAGCTCGCAGCCGTAGTACCGCACGAGGTGCGGGTGCAGCACGTGTGCAGTAGAGTGCAATGTGTGTGCAACGCACGCGGTGCAGCTCGCAGCCGTAGTACCGCACGAGGTGCGGGTGCAGCACGTGTGCAGCAGTGTACAATGTGTGTGCAACGCACGCGGTGCAGCTCGCAGCCGTAGTACCGCACGAGGTGCGGGTGCAGCACGTGTGCAGCAGTGTACAATGTGTGTGCAACGCACGCGGTGCAGCTCGCAGCCGTAGTACCGCACGAGGTGCGGGTGCAGCACGTGTGCAGCAGTGTACAATGTGTGTGCAACGCACGCGGTGCAGCTCGCAGCCGTAGTACCGCACGAGGTGCGGGTGCAGCACGTGTGCAGTAGAGTGCAATGTGTGTGCAACGCACGCGGTGCAGCTCGCAGCCGTAGTACCGCACGAGGTGCGGGTGCAGCACGTGTGCAGTAGAGTGCAATGTGTGTGCAACGCACGCGGTGCAGCTCGCAGCCGTAGTACCGCACGAGGTGCAGGTGCAGCACGTGTGCAGTAGAGTACAATGTGTGTGCAACGCACGCGGTGCAGCTCGCAGCCGTAGTACCGCACGAGGTGCGGGTGCAGCACGTGTGCAGTAGAGTACAATGTGTGTGCAACGCACGCGGTGCAGCTCGCAGCCGTAGTACCGCACGAGGTGCGGGTGCAGCACGTGTGCAGTAGAGCGCAATGTGTGTGCAACGCACGCGGTGCAGCTCGCAGCCGTAGTACCGCACGAGGTGCGGGTGCAGCACGTGTGCAGCAGAGTACAATGTGTGTGCAACGCACGCGGTGCAGCTCGCAGCCGTAGTACCGCACGAGGTGCGGGTGCAGCACGTGTGCAGCAGAATGTACAATGTGTGTGCAACGCACGCGGTGCAGCTCGCAGCCCGTTACCGCACGAGGTGCGGGTGCAGCACGTGTGCAGTAGAGCGCCAATGTGTGTGCAACGCACGCGGTGCAGCTCGCAGCCGTAGTACCGCACGAGGTGCGGATGCAGCACGTGTGCAGCAGTGTACAATGTGTGTGCAACGCACGCGGTGCAGCTCGCAGCCGTAGTACCGCACGAGGTGCGGGTTGCAGCACGTGTGCAGCAGTGTACAATGTGTGTGCAACGCACGCGGTGCAGCTCGCAGCCGTAGTACCGCACGAGGTGCGGGTGCAGCACGTGTGCAGTAGAGTGCAATGTGTGTGCAACGCACGCGGTGCAGCTCGCAGCCGTAGTACCGCACGAGGTGCGGGTGCAGCACGCCCTCCAGCACGCGCAGCTCGTTGGCGGCGCGGCGCAGCGCCCGTCGGTCGCCCGCACACACGCTCAGCTCCTTCATGGCAAGCAGCTGCCCACTCTCCGTGTTCACCACCGTGTACACCTGCGCACACACGCCGCCCACCTCACTTACTATCATTTGTACCTAGTCTATTTCAAAAAGTAACGTTTGATCAAAAGCTCATTGATTTTACCGTTACAGCCTATTAAAGACCACTGCTAACATATGGGAGATATTTGCAAGCAGATTGACAAACGCAATTTTTTCTAATTAATTATTAGCAAGACACTGTTACTCATCCTCTTATCTCCTGATTTATTTCCTTCTGTCACCTGTTACAACACCTATGGGATAATATGAGGTAGTGGATAGCGGATATAAAATAATGCATCACCAAGGCTTCCTGATTTTACAAAGAGAATATAAACCATGAATGCAGGTATAAGCTATAGATCTATCATTACTGCGATATGAGATGTTCCCGTGCCGTGTGCTTATAATAACAACTGAGCAGTGGAGTGGTTGGCGCGTAAACCTGTATGACCTTATTCGCTGAAGGTCATACAGGTTTACGCGCCAACGTCGGAACATCCCGATGAGGAGGTGGAAAATGTATGAGGACATTTCTAGAGCCATGCATTCCTCCAAAACTCACTATACGGTGTTAATGGGAGACTTCAACGCAAAACTAGGCACAAGAAAGAACGGTGAGCTGAAGGTAGGGAAATTTGGAGTAGAGCAACGGAACCGTAGGGCCAGCAGCTGGACGACTTTATGGAGAAAGAGGGACTCTTTATGATGAACTCTTTCAAACGCCCCACAGGAAGTGGTGTCAACCCCGACGGTTCGACAAAAAATGTGATTGACTTCATTATGACGACCAGACGCCAACTGTTCAGTGATGTCTCAGTGATCGCAAGGGTGAAAAGTCGCAGCGATCACCGAATGGTTAGAGGCACACTGAACCTAAACTAGTTGGAGAGGTCTCGTCTAATGAAGTCAACGCTCCGTCCCCCTCGTGCTCTAATCCAGAATCCCGAAACCTTTCAGCTCGAGTTACGTAACCGCTTTCAATGCCTAGAAGATTGCAATGCCGTGGACGATATGAATGACAAGCTTGTGGAAACTGTTCATGCGATCGGAGCTAAGTTCAGCAAGACCCGCCGCAGAAGAACACAAAAACTCCGATCACACTCTTAATCTCATGGCTGTTAGACGGGAGATGAGTCTGCAATCGTTAACAGATTTGACAGCATACAGGCAACTGAACAGACAGATCTCCAAATGCATGCGGCGAGACTTACGCAACTTTAATACTGCTCGTATTAAAGAAGCGATCGAGCGGAACCAGGGCTCTAAAGTCTTTGCCAGAGATCTGTCTGCCAGAAAGAGCCAACTGTCAAAGCTGAAGACTGAGTGTGGCAGCATCGTTTCCGGGACACCTGAGATTTTGAGTGAGGTTGAGAGGTTCTATGGGCAGCTGTACACATCATCGTTAGAGCCACACGCAAGTGTAAGTAGCGATCCAAGAGCAAGTCTTATCCGACACTATTCCGATGATATCCCGGACGTCAGTCTAAGCGAGATTAGAATGGCTCTCCAGCACCTTAAAAACGGCAGGGCCCCAGGTGAGGATGGAATTGCAGCGGAGCTTCTGAAAGAGGGTGGAACACCGGTATTTGAAGCCCTTCAGAAGCTCTTCAATTCCGTCCTCCATGGTGGCACTACTCCGGAGGCGTGGAGCAGAAGTGCGGTGGTCTTGTTCTTTAAGAAAGGCGACAACGCTCTCTTGAAGAACTACAGACCGATTTCCCTTCTGAGCCGCGTCTACATGCTGTTTTCGAGAGTCATTACGAAACGTCTCGCACGCAGACTCGACGACTTCCAGCCTCCCGAACAAGCTGGTTTCCGAAAAGGCTTCAGTACCATAGACCACATACATACCCTGCGGCAGATTGTACAGAAGACCGAAGAGTACAATCTGCCACTTTACCTGGCGTATGTGGACTATGAGAAAGCCTTTGATTCCGTCGAAATCTGGGCGGTGCTACAGTCCCTTCAGCGGTGCCAAGTTGACTGTCGGTATATCGAAGTGCTGAAGTGTTTGTACAGTAGGGCTACGATGGCTATCCGAGTACAGAACCAGAGTTCGAAACCTATCCAACTGCAGAGAGGTGTAAGACAGGGTGACGTTATATCCCCGAAACACTTCACCGCTGCATTGGAAGACGTTATCAAGCTACTGGACTGGAAAGGATACGGTATTAACATCAATGGCGAGTACATCACTCACCTTCGATTTGCTGACGATATAGTACTTATCGCAGAATCGCTGGAGGACCTAAGCACTATGCTCAATGACCTCAATAGTGCCTCCCAACGGATAGGTCTTAAGATGAACATGGACAAAACAAAGATCATGTTTAATGTCCATGTCACACCTGCCGGATTGGGAGCACTATGCCGGTAGTTGTTGGGAGCACTATGCTCGAATTTGTTGACGAGTACGTTTACCTGGGACAAATAGTCCGACTAGGTAAGTCCAACTTCGACCGAGAGGTCAATCGACGGATTCAACTCGGCTGGGCAGCGTTCGGGAAATTACGACACATCTTCTCGTCAGGTATACCTCAATCTCTGAAAACTAAAGTGTATAACCAGTGCATGTTGCCAGTGATGACTTACGGATCTGAGACGTGGTCCTTTACTGCTGGCCGTATGAGGACGCTCAAGGTCGCTCAGCGAGCTATGGAGAGGACTATGCTCGGAGTTTCTCTGCGTGATAGACTCAGAAATGAGGATATCCGCAGTAAAACCAGAGTGACCGACATAGCCCAACGGATTAGTAAGCTGAAGTGGCAATGGGTCGGCCATATAGCTCGAAGAACCGATAACCGATGGGGAAGAAAGGTTCTCGAGTGGCAACCTCATACCGGTAGGCGTAGTGTAGGGCGACCCCCCACTAAATGGAGTGACGACCTGGTAAGATATGCAGGAAGTCGATGGATGCAGGTGGCTCAGGACCGTGCTTTGTGGCATTGTTTGGGGGAGGCCTATGTTCAGTAGTGAACTTGTGAAAGGCTGTAATGATGATGATGATGAGTGGAGTGACCAGACACAAAAAATTTTAATACTTCATAATACAATACAGAATTTAATTTAGTATGTTAATACACACGAATATTTGCTTTATATTCAATAACTCACACATAAAAATAAGTTGTAATAGATAGTTACTTCTCAATAATCGTTGGACTCCACATTTGGTCTTTCGAGCCAGATATTTTTAAATTTTCATCTGGCAGTACGGGAACCTAAGACGATCTAAGAGGAGGATCGACTATAAAGCCTGAACTATTCCCTCAAAAATATTTATCAAAGCAACTTAAGAACTAAATATTAACAACACAGACCGCCATTGCTGGGACCGAGCCAGCATAGCATTTACTATTACAGTACTACAATTTCATGAATTTGACAACAACCACATAAAATTATTATTATCAAGCCAAGTACAATCGACGATGAATAATACTAAGATAATAATATACTTTACAAAAATGCACGACTTTAAAATTTAAAAATAACAAGAAAGATTTTCGACAAAGACAAGCAAAATAAAAAGACCCCACAGACTGCAGATTTCACGGAACGTCGGTGTCACACAACTATAGTTACTCACAACAACTAGTATTAACATGCAGTGTAATATTTATGTGCCACCGACCTTCCCAAATGTTCCTGCTCCAATCTTCAGCCCGCGCTGCCATTTGAAGGTGACTTGCCGCAGCTTGGGCTCGTAGCTGGCCACAGCGGATTGAAGAACGCGACCAACAGCTCGCTTGCTCCGCAACGTCTCATCACGAGCTTCATCCAGCCTCCGCACAGCTTCCGCCACTCGTCTGCTGTAATCGCTGGTCTCACTATTCCAGCCCTCAGCACTGGATCCGTTATGACCTAATTGATACAAAGATTTCCACTGCCGATTTTCTGCCGGTTTTCTTAATATTCAGGGTTGTCTGAGCAAGAAGCATTAATTTTACCCATTGAAAACCGTAATTTAAGGTAGCTACGATAACAAACAGATAAAGGGATACCCCTTTTTTGTTTTGGACACTACACTATGCACAACCTACGCTTCTTCTGTTTCATTTGCCTCTGTCGATACCCACGGGATGTGTTGGAGAGTGAATTCTCTTATTTTGTGTTTATATATTTTTATATATAGAATGAGGGTGACAAACAAGCACACAGTTCAACTGATGGTAAGTGGATGCTGTGGCACATAGACATCTACATTTATTCTTTTTTTTAATCTTCAATTAAGAATCAAAACGCAAATGCGTTATCACCACTGAGGACTGAGATGGAATGCCTCGTTTACAGTAAAAAGGGTCTCCGGTTCTCTACACTCACCATACGACATACAGTAGGATTAAGCTGCTATTTTACGTTGGTATTCTGTGAGAGCGTAGTTCTACCCCAGTCGAGCCGACCCATTCGTGCTGTGACCACAATATAGCTGTAGCATGGCTTTACCATGAAAGTTATATGAGCTGAAATACCTGGAACTTCTTCCGGCTGGGAGCTGGGCGCGTTACATTCGGTGGGTGGAGTGACTGGCGCTGCACCCTCCTTGTACAACGGGCTTTGGGCACCGTTCGAATTCGACAGAGGGCTCTAGATATTATTTAGTTATTGTGAGTATGTGCGATTTTTACCCTACTTTTAGAAGAACGACTTTAACTGCTTGTTCAAAAGCCAGAAAATAATAAAGACAATTCTACGCCGTAAAATGACGTTAAAAATGTATATTACAAAAATCTTATCAAAAAAAAATCTTTAAATGCACTAATCATATTATTAATTCGATATTAGGCTTAATTTACACTGACGCGGAACGGAAAGGAAGCGAATTTTTGTAACAAAATTGTACATAATGAAATGAGTTTTATGTTAATTGTGTAACTAGATATGAGTTAAAAAAGAAAGGCGCGCATCTTCCGGAGAATTCTCGCGCATTCTCGAGAATTCCTGTAGCTACTGTCGGCGCAGTCTGTGGAATCCGCGGGAACTGGAATGAAGGGTTACGTTTTCGTTATTTCCATAAATTATGAACCAAAATATTTCTTCCTTTTTTCATATATTTTTTTCTTCTACCTCACAAAAAAGCTATATGAAAATAATATCCAATTTACCATTATCCTAAAATAAAAGATTTAGACTTAATAACTGATCGTCCTCAATAGCCTCAAGTCGCAGTCAGTGAGTTCACGCGCCTTTTCATGCGACTAGACGAAATAGAAGCTTCCGTTATATTCCATTCCGCCGCAATATAAATTGAGCCTTATTAGGATATTGTAAATATAGATAAAAGATAGCATGAAAAGTTAATATATAGCAATAAATGATAGTATAAAAAAAGTAAATAATAAATAATACTAATAAATGAAAAGATTGATAAATGACGGTAAAAGATGGGAACGAAGCGCATTGTGCGTAAAGTGTGGCGTGAGGGACTAGTACAAGTACTACCACTCACGTGCAGTGCTCGGCGAACGCGGCGCGACGGCTCGGTGTGAAGCGTGGCGCTCGACGGGGCTTGCGGCGGGCCGAGCGGTGCGGGCCGCGAGCCGATCACGTGCGAAATACACGCGTCCATCAGCTGCTTCAGCTCCTGCGTACACCAGACAACCGATACACACAGCGCCCGTATTACGCGTGCGTGCGTGCGTGTGTGTGTTGGGATGTATCTCTATCGATGTAAAGCTATGTTTATACTGTAGTACGAAGGCACTGAAATATACCGGCTATTTTTGAAACGCTGCCGAAAGCGAAGACAGACGATAGTACACTAAGGATACCTTTTGATGGTGGAACAAAAAGATAATCGATCCCGATTTAAAAAATCATACTTTTACAACGTTTAATTAGCTTCATTCACGCTCTATTGTGAGTACAGCTAAATGAAACGATAATTACATGAAAAAGTCATGAAAATACCTAAACATAAAACCAGCAGTGAAACTTAAATACCTAAAATCTAGCTGACAATGGTCATTGTACGCACGACGACGAATCCACTCGGCCCGCAGCCACAGGAGTAGATAAACTGAATTATCTACTATCGTATATCGTACTAATACCTAATAATTTACAACACTTGTCTAAATACCTAACTTATCTACTTAACCTAATATTTTGCCACTGTGCTAGTCTCCACCTAGCCACTTTAATTCGAATTCACAGGTTAAATAAACCAAATAGTTAGTTCGATTCCCCGCTAATGTAAAATTTGCTTAAATTATCTGTCGTGTAGGTATGTTATTTATTCTAATGTATTCAGTTGTGTACCTATTCAGATCTAACTCACTAAGTTATTTGAAAACATTAGGTATGAAACAGCTTAGATAAACCTGCACATACGTGAACCGACCATTAGTTTTGGTGCTCGGTTTGTCGAACAGCGTGCGGGTTAACCTCGGAATACACGTGGTGTACTTCTTCGGTTCCACAGGCCGTTTCTGGCAAATGTCGACTCGTCCGTCCAGATGACGTGCTCAATGAAACCAATCACACGTTGTTGTTGGTCTAATAACCAACAGCAGAAAACTTGCCGGCAGTTGTAATCGCCGGGAACTATAGCTTGAACTTTGCACACTTTATATAGGCGCATTCGGTTACGCTTTAACACCTTTTGTCCAGTATGACAAACTTGTACCATCCCGACGCCTTAAGAATTTGGCGGTACTTTATAAAATTGTAAATTCATAATGCACGCGAAGCATTCTCGCGAGCTTTTCGAAGGAACATTAACATGTCGCCGTATTCACGAGCACTATAAACGTGAACGTTAGGCATTATTAAAACAAAACAAGAAACACAAAACGTTAGAACAATTTCATAAACAAACCGCTGGAAAAACTAAAATTAATAATAAATATTAGAGCCAGCGTGGCAGCTATATTATGGTTGTGGCACGAATGGGTGGGCTCAACCGGGGAAGGACCGCGCTCTCACAGAATACCAGCGTAAAATAGCAGCTTAATACTGCTATGTTTCGTATGGTAAGTGTAGAGATCCGGAGACCCTTTTTTACTGGAAACGAGGCATTCCAACTTAGTCCTCAGGGGTGACAACTGCTTACATCTGCATTTTGATTCGTAATCGAGGATAGATGTAGGTGTCTATGGGCCACAGAATTCACTTATCATCAGGTGGACTGTGTGCACGTTTTTCATCCTTATACTGTATGGAAAAAACAATGCCATCCGCTACTTTCGTGTGCCTTTGCGGTTAGCACTTTGACCATTCTACAGATCTGTTACTACAAAATTACATTGAAACTAATAAACGTAGCTAATTGCTAATTGGTGGCTCACTTACACGATTATCAACATAATTTCATCATTATCTTTGATTTTATACCAGAAAATAGAAATGAAATGGTACTGAATAATTTAATAGTTAAAATCAATTGCAATTATGATCGATAGTTAACTAATCTATCACAATTAATCTGAAAAATAGTTATTTTACTTTATTATAATTGACTGTTTTTTAATCCGTCCAATACTTTGAATTTAAAAAAAGTATTAAAATTAATTCCAAGTTTTATAGTGATTGTCGCCTCTAATTCTTATTTCGCCTGCAAATTTTAGTAAGTATTTCGGTTTGGCTATGCCGCAAAAAAGAAGAGAAGGGTGGAGTGAGAGTAAATACAGTATAATACCTAATGCATTGTTTCGTACCGAGCTCGATAAAAAGAGTTCAGCTTTTTTGACTCTTTATCAGCTGATTTCAGGTATTTATGTTTCACTGCTGGTTTCATGTTTAGGTATTTCAATTATTTTTTTATAAAATTATCATTTTATTAAGCTGTACTAACATGATAGAGCGTGAATAAAGAGCTAATTAAACGTTGTTAAAAAAATGACTTTTTTTCATCGGGATCGATTTTATTTTTGTTCGATCATCAAAAGTATCCTTAGTACTATTGTCTGTCTTCGTTTTCGGTAGCGTTTCAAACACACCCGTCTTACCAAGTCGTCACTCCATCTAGTGGGGGGTCCACCACTCGAAAACCTTTTTTCCTCATCGGTTGTTATAGGATCGTACGTGTATCTGTGGTTATGACAAAATTATAGTACTATAGGTTACCCTACAGTATTACACTGTGTCATAAGCTTTTCACCGGGTCGACACACATCCCTTGTAGTCTTAAACCGTCCTAATTTTAACTATTTTTTTGATTATATGATGTGTATAGTACTACGAATGTCTTTCTTCTTTTTACATCGTGTTTTGCACACACACATTGCATTGGGTATGTAAAGTACAACTGTAAAAAACTTATTTGTCTATCTTTTATCGCTGGAATTCATATTCTCAGAGAAATAACGCGCTGCGCAGCTGCTTTTTACTATGACGCAATACCCAACAACGACAACTAACTCATGGCTTATGAACAATTTGCATTTCAAAGTATACTTAAATACAAATTCCTTGTACGGTCGAGTTGAACGGCTCAACATTCACCATATAATACAACATTACATAAAAAGTTTTTTGCCTTTATCTGTTCTACAGAGGAATTTAATTATACATTCATTAAAATTTCTTTAGCATTACATGCTAGTCTTAGTATTACAATAAAAAAGAAGATTTTGGCATTTTATTACGCCAGCATAATCATCACCCATGAACTCGAGCAATGCTGTTATTCAACCAAGCCGTCACTGTTATATCTTTTAACTACTATCGTTATTCAACTTTATATAAAAGAACGTACCTCAAACTCCTCGTCGCTCAAATGTTTCGTATTGTACGGATCACAGGCGAGCATGAGAAACTCTAGACCTTGACTCGCCCATCTGCAAATAAACAAATACCTAGTCAATCAGCTTCCCAAGCGTGACAATTAAGCCAAATCTTCTCTACTACGCGAGAGAGATCCTCGATGTCTTTACGCCTCGATTTAAAAAAAAAGAAGAATCATTAATATATAGGAGGTAAAGCCACACCGCAGCTACATTATGGTCACAGCACGAACGGGTCGACTCCACCGAGAAAGTACCACGCTCTCAGAATACCAGTGTATAATAACAGCTCATTTCTGCAGTGTTTCGTGGGTGTGTGTAGAGAACTGGATACCCTTTTTACTGGAAACGAGGCAATCCATCTCAGTCGTAGGGGTGACAAGATTTTTTTTCACAGAATAACAATGACAAACGAGCACTGTGCACTTGATGGTAAGTGGATACTGTGGCCCATAGACATGTACATACGTCACTCCTGAGAACTAAGGTGGAATGCCTCGTTTCCAGTAAAAAGGGTATCGTATCCAGTTCTCTACACTCACCATTTGACACAAACACTGTTAACGGTGATATTCTCTTTGTCCTTTTACGGTCGAAACGATTTTTCCCATTGCAACCATAGCGCAGCTGGGAGTAACGGCCCTACATTAACTAATTCGATTGCTTAGTAAGGTTATCTTAACCTTATCAAGTTTTTAAGAGTTAAAGACGGTTGGCGAGTTCTTGTAAATGCGTATATACATTCAGCAGTGAATTTAAAGAGGCTGGTAATAATGACGGATAGATTCTAGTACTCAAAACACGTGGCTAAGTGGTCATATCATTCCATTAGATATTTGAAAAAATCCCACTCACACAGTGGGATTTTTTTTGTAGCCTGAAGGAACAATACATAAATTGCACACAAAAAGACTCAGAATAATAATTTATAGGTCATTCAGATTGCTTTGGGATGGCGGTGAGTTGTAATTGGTAAGAGGTAAGAGGTGAGATAGTAGACGAGAGCGGAAAAAGGTGTGATAGGAACGGAAAGAGGTGAGATTCGAGAGATGAGATGGGAGAGGGTGAGAAGTGAAATCTAAGATGGGAGCAGGGAGATGTGATGGGTGAAATGAGAGCGAGGAGAGGTGAGAGTTGAGATGTGAACAGATAGAGATGAAAAGTGATATGGGAGCGTAGAGAGATGAGATAGAGCGGCGGTACCGTGGGCGGCGGCCGCGGCCGCGCTCGCAGCGCTCCATGACAAAACGCATCCAGCAACGCGCGAACTGCACCACGCCGCGCGCTGCCAGCCCCGCAAAGCGCTGCTCCTCACACACGCACTCCTCTCCCTGCCCACCCTCCCCCACCTCCTCCGCATTCCCCCGCGTCCTGCTCGCAACGCTCCCGCTCCTCCGCCAACAACTGCTCCAGCTCATTGTGTTTCTGTAACAACACACTAATCATAATCTCTAATAATAATTCCATCCGGTAATCAGTGGATAACCTTGAAGTAGCTTACAGCGGAACTAATAGCCGTTAAAGAATGTTATCAACAAAAAAAACTGATGAAACTGATTCATTTGTAGTTTTGGTGTACATGAGTTTAAATAACCCATTTTCAAAAATTGTTTTAAATGAATCCTAGAGTGATAATGAACCGCTATAATTTTATGTTTTTTTTTTGAAACCGAATCGTGCCAATAAAATTACTTTTAATTTATCGTTTTAAATTTACGCGTGAGAACGCTAGCCTCCATACCGTACCATACCGTTCAATTCGTGACGTTACTGTCCTCGATTTTGCCGATTTTGCAAAGGAATATATAATATAATATAATACTTTTCAATGTTTAATAATGAGTTATCATCTAAATCATTGTTGTGTTGCGCCTGGATGCAAAAATACGAGCAAAAGAATGCCGCGAAAGTAACACAAAAAGCCCCGCCAACAAAAACCAAAACCCCAACCCCAAAACACCCCAAACAAAAAAAATATGGAAACACTCACAGAAATGCCCAAGTATTAAAGGTCGCTAAATAAATAAGAAATACTTGGTTAAAACTGGCAAGAAGATACCCGAATACATTTTCCGGTGAAGGGTATCGGAAGTCAAATTTTGTAATAAATTACGTTAACTTAGATATTGTAACTTGCTAATGATTGTTATTATAGATAAACTAAACTATGATAGCTACTAAACTATGTTTTATTAAAATACACTCTGACCTGGTATTGTATTTTGTATAAACAAAAATTGGTAATAGGTACTTATATTGATGTTTTAACATTCTTCAACTTAGCAGAACAAAAATTGGGATAGCATGCAATAAATTTTTCCGCCATCAATTTATTTATCCTTGGTAGATTAGTACTTTCTGCTTTAACGAATTCGTCTTCCATGATGCCTTTTCAATAAAATTCAGAATAAAACTCAATAATCGTAATGATAATGTTGCGCGCCATAATTAATGCTATTAGCGCTATCGAGTAGCAGAACTAGGAGAGCTTCGTAGAAAATTCCTTGCTAGAACTTTCGACATTCTACTCGAACATTCTACATGTTTCAGTGGAAGAATATATAAATGTTTTTAGGGCCGCTCCCGGGGCAGCCATTGGCGATACAAGTGAAGACTTCGGAGCGAAATAAAGTGAACTAAAGTATTAAGAGTGATAAATTATTACTGTGTTTTAAGTTTGAATTGGTGTTCGGTAACTAAAGTGTCAATTTTGGTAATTCAATTGGCAGTTTTTATTGTCACGAGCCCTAAGCTTGTAACAACAACTTGAAAATTTTGCGGAATAACACAGCACGTTAGCTAGTTTTTTTTTAATCAGTAACACAGAACACAAATACCTTTAGGCAAGTATCAGTGACGTCACGACATTTTCTAATATGGCGGACAGCTTTTTGCAGATTTGAGACACAGACGAAAAAGTATTCTTAAAATTGAAATATAAAATTTAACAGAAATCAATATTTCTCGTTTACTTTTTACAAAATCTATCATAAATATATATTTTTTATTTTATTTTACATTGTGTAATATACCCTATTTCGTGAAAATATATTAGTATTAAAAAAAATGTTAGGCGCTTGGAATATTTGTGCCCGGGGACCAGCCAACACCCCGTGTGTTAGTATAGAGCTGTTCTATATAAAGCGCAGTACTTTGGAATTTTGATAGCAAGATTTAAGTTTCGATGCGTTTCGCTTGTGGTGCGAAGACAGCGTCGCCACAGGAGTAAATCAATAATTTTATTAATTACGATTTATACTTATTGCCATTGCGTTGAAACTCACAGAAGCGTCTAGAGCAGCAGTTTCAAACATCCTGCAATCGAATACACCGTCCTCGTTGATACTTTCCGAACGCAAGAACTTGGAGCGGCTGTTGTCGAACCGTGCGGCGCTGCCGCGCTCCGACTCCTTCACGAACCGGTGTAACTCCTTGTGCATCTGTCGAACACGGAAATAACCTTAGTGATATCAGCATTGACGAACTAAACTTCGATCAATAATATACAACTAGATAACGGGTCACATAGAATAGAATAGAATAATTTTCATTCTATACAGATGGAAAGTCATTTAAGTTTTACCACTAGTTTGGAAACAAAACCTCTGTCCTGGAAAGAACTAGAAAAAAACTCAGCAGGACTTCTTTTTTTAAATAATTAATTTTTACTATATATACCATGATGTATAAAAACTTTCATGATTTTTTATTTGGCGGTAGGTGAAGAAAGAAGTGTACACGTTCTTACGTTTTCAAAAATATATTTTAAAGTAATTAATACATTAAAGTACATTATTTGTGTATTTATTTGGTGCAAAAATACATCATTAATTAGTACTTTCATGTTTATGCGTGTAAACTAATTTAAAATTCACCGCCTGCATTGGTGCACGCTTCATTTTTACAACAGAATGTCTCAACGAGAAGAATAAGAACTGCTCAAAATACTCTTCTAGAAAGATGGCTGAGTTGGAAGCACAGCTGCATACTGGGGGCCTGCTAAAGACACTGTTGCTGCACTGTTGAGGTCGTGTACTCAATGCTTGGGATGTTGCGCAAGCAGATTATTGAGTGCTCTCGTATGGTAGATGTCATCGAAACCAGGCATCGTCATAAGGCTCTCATGTTCCTCGGTGTTACTGAAGAAGAGAAGGAAGATTGTAAAGCCACTGTGGTGAGCATTTTTCGCAAGATGCAGTTAACAGACATTACAGCCTCTAGCATCAAAGTTTGTCACAGGGTTGGAGCAGCCAGTAAAAACCATCAACGACCAATCTTGGTACGGTTTGTTGACATTGACTCTAGAACATCGGTGTGGAGGTCAAAGTCCAAGCTTAAAGGTTCATCGATTGCAGTTAAAGAATTCTTGACAAAGACCCGTTAAGCTGTTCATGCTAAAGCCCGGCAGCATTTTGGTAAGCGAGATTGCTGGACTCAGGACGGTGTAATTGTGGTGTAAGCTGCTGATGGATCCCGGCATAAAATCACTTCCCTAGACGAGCTGAACTCCTTAAGGCAGAAATACCCCAAATCTGCAGCTGAATCCTTGGTTGAGGGCAAGACCGCAGTTGTGGGATCAACGAACTCTCTTTCAAAACTTCGTAAGTGACGACAATTGAAGTTTGTAGTTTCGTGTGTTAACTTTTCACTACCTTAATACAAAATTTCTCAATTTTTTTAAATTTTTTTTTAGGTGAAATGTATACAATTTTATTTTGTTTTATTTCTAGTATAGTTACGTAACTCCATAATGGTTTCTGTGTTTTTTTTTCTTTCTAAACTAATTATTCTCTCCTCCCTTGTTCCTTCCTTGTTCTTGTAACGTGGATATCGTATTTATAATTACTAACATAATATTCGCTATTTATTCTCTCGAACTACAATGTAAACATGCTTTTGTATATTGTATGAATAATTTTCAGTTGTTATTTCTATTCTAGTGTAATGCCAATTTGACGTTTCACAACTAAAAGGTAATATTTAGAATTTCTGTATATATATATACTTACATAATATTTATATATGTATATATTTATAGGCTTATACTATATGTATGACTTTATATATATGTGAATATTAATTGCTGTACATACTTCTTATTACACCTACCTCTTTTATCTCTGCACTACTCTAAGGTAGACTGGTAGCTGATGCCTCAGGCATTAAGTTCGCCTACATACATCTAATGTGTACATAAAGTTAAATAAATAAATAAAAACTTTTGACAGCACGGTAGCGAGCACTTAATTCCCAAAGGAATGAGGTGATGGCTATCCTCCTTCCACTCTCTCATTCTCACATCAATCATGTTATCTTTAGCAGTATAATAACCCCTACTAAAAACAATTTTTGTTTACTAAAAATATTGAACTTTTTAATAGAAAACAACGCATATTTTCTGGAGCTTCATTGTAAAAGCGTATACATTGCCACATGAAGGAATTACTGACCTTTTGGAGTCAAGTAACATACAAAATCCAAGGTAAATCTCAAATAAATCTTACAATACTAACAATTAAATAAACAATTATTGCAAACCAAATAAAGATATTAACTTAAAGAAGTCACTCCTCATTTGAGACCTTATTTGCGTTTTAATTGATCAAATAAATTAAATGTTGTAATGCTGTAACGAAAAGAAGTAAATTAAGAAACAGAAACTATAAGTATATAATATTAAATATACACAATAGTTTTAAAATCATTGAGTTCACACGACAGAAAACCACAATCACACAAAATAAATTATACATACCAGTTATTAAAAAACAATGATGTGTATGCAACTACAATGTAGAAGTTATGTGTGTAATAATGTTTTAGTGGTACGAATAAAAGCGATTTAATAGTAATACATTATTGAGGGGGCTTTTACCCGAATGGGACTACATATAAAGAAGAAAATTATGTGATACATATAGATGTAATAATAAAAAGGATTATATAATTTATACGATAACCTAACTAATTAAATAAAACGCATCTAAATCAGTGAAACCCAAATCTTACAGTGCGACATACAACACGATTAAAAGCTGGGCAGACGACAAAACCAACAATAACAGCACAACGCAGTTTGCAAGCTGGACGTGGCACACTTGGCACAGCAGCACTCAGTAGCGTACCGCGAGGTCCACGGAGTGGTGCACGACGACGGTGTCGGGGCGGCGCCTGCGCAGCGCGGGGGACGCGGGCCGCACCTCCTGCAGCGAGACGGGCCGCCCCCGCCCTCCGGCACCCCCTACCCCGCCCACACGGAACGGAGCCTGCGCTAGCGCGTACAGCTCGCGGTGCAGCTGCGGACACAACCTGCTCACCGAACCTGCCGACCGTCCATCACCCATCCCCCCCCCCCACCTCACCGCACATCCATCTCACAAAACTCAGCACTATCGAGCCCATTCTAATATTAAATACATTCAGAGAAATGGCGGTGTTTCACCTCCATGCCTCAGATAGAACGTAATGCCGTTGGTCCTGCGCCTGATCTCTCTTCCGTCGGTCTATGAGAGAGAGATAGAGAATGCACCTGTGCTTGCGCACGCTACACTCAGGCACAATAGTCCTATGCTGCGCAGATTAATAGTCTATGCTGAGATTGGCTGCCATGACACAAATATGGTCTATTTACAGTAAAGTCGTAGAAAAATTATCCGGCGTCTGCCTTTCTGATTTGTTGTGATTGTCTGAATATAATCTGGGAGTTTTTTATGCAAGAGTGAATACGCTTTTATAGTGCGTGCCAAATCTATTGAGAAAAACGGACAATGACCTTTCGGTCGTTTAACCAGGGGCTACAAACCTTCAATATATAGTCACCTTTTATATGTAGTACTTTCTTTATTTATAATGATTTTTTTATTATTTTTTATAATGATTGATAAAATATATATTTATTAACTATTATTAAAAAGTTATGTAAAAGATCGCTGTAGAAGAAAAATCATCTAATGTTATAAAGTACTTTATTCATTCAACAACAAAAAGCATTAATTTATAACACATATAAAGATTCGAGTGATAACGACACCGAATAAGTACGTACTTATTCAAAAGATAAAACTTTATTTTCAATATTATATAAGAACTTTATTTTTATTCGGTGCATGCGGGCCGGCCAAAAAAAAGTAACGCATCTCTGGCTGCCATTGTCACGTTTCTTTTAGAACGAACTGACGTAACGCGCTTTTTGTTTATTTTAAAGGGATGAATTTGCAAAAGCTCAATATGGTTATTATATTGCTTCAAATATTTTTTATAAAATGAAACTGTTATTAAATGAATTGCTGCGTTCATTATCATCATCATTACAGCCCTTCACAAGCCCACTGCTGAACATAGGCCTCCCCCAAGTAATGCCACAAAGCACGGTCCTGAGCCACCTGCATCCATCGACTGCATCCACATGCATCCAGCATGTTTCACCAGGTCGTCACTCCATCTAGTGGGGCGTCGCCCTACACTACGCCTACCGGTACGAGGCTGCCACTCGAGAACCTTTCTTCCCCATCGATTATCGGGTCTTCGAGCTATATTGCCGGCCCATTGCCACTTCAGCTTACTAATTCGTTGGGCCACAGACAATATTATTCAAGAAACAAAGAAACAAAACATATGTGCTGATCAAGAAGTGTGAATGACACAATATAGGTATATATAATATACTGGGCTCTTTAGATCGCGTGTCCGGTGTCCTACTTCATATCCATACTTATTTAACATCTATACATACATACAGGATGGCCGGACCAATTGACGTCATAAATTTTTTTTAGGTCCGGCAGGTCGTGGGGTATTCGAATTACCCCCATGTATGTTCCGCGATTTTTGATACTTTTCGAGTTATAATTTTCTTAAAAATTTTTGGTAAATTTCGACTTGACCGTCTTCAAAAATTAAAAAAAAATATTTGAAGACTTTTTTGAGATTTTTTTATTTTTGCAAATGAGTCTTCATGAGTTGTCCTTTTACGCATAAAATAATCAACTTCGTATCTTTACTAAAAGTGATGAAATTTTTGGTCTAAAGTTAAAAATTTACGTTTTGTGAGTTATTTCTTAAATTTTTAACTTTAAATTAAAAATCTAAAAAGGTGGAAATTCAAAATCTAAGTCTGAAAAATGCGCCAGGCTCTCAGCTTTCATAATCATAAAAAAATTACTACTTAATAGGACTTATTTGGCTAAAATCGGTCTTCAAAGACAGCAAGTTGGAAAATTATTAAAATTTGCCAACTAAATTTTTTGCCATAATCATCTTTCATGAGACTAATTACTTTATTAAGTACTAAAAATAACTGCATATCACTTTGGTTTAAACAATTGGACGTTTTCGGGTCATTTAAAAAATTTGAAGTGTATTAATTTTTTCACTTTTAGTTTAAAATTTGATGCAAAACCGACCGTTTGTCGCGGATCATGGATTATAAACAGGGTAACTTTTTACCTGCAATAACAAAAGGATAATAAGAGACCATATTGCTATCTCTCTGTCTTGATGGCGTGAGAGGCCGAGCGCAACCGAATAAACGCAAAACAAGTTCGTTAGCTACGAACCAACTTCAGTTGAGTTCACATTGTGTTCGCTGCTACCTGTGTCGCCATTTTGTTTGCCTCTGCTCTGGGACTCCGTCATTACTTACTTGTTTGACTACTTTGCCCGTTTACTGGACTCTGTTTTACATTCTGATTTAGACGTTGTTTTACTTGAAAGTGTAAGAAATGCGTTACACTTTAAGTGAGTATGCAGAAATGCATTATTTTTATGGAGTTGCACGAGGAAACGGCGTTGAAGCAGCGCGTCTGTATCGCGAACAACTTCAACGTCGTAGTGGGCCCCAACCGCCGTTTTATCCCGACCATCGTATTTTTATTAACACTCACAATACCTTGATGGCAGCCCGCATTCCTGGTCAACGCGGAAATCATGAAGGAATCCTTAGAGCAGACCTTGATCGCAGAGAAGTGGTGCTGGAAGAGGTTGAGAGAAATCCATCAACGAGTACGAGAGCTATGGCTCGTACTATGGACATCCCAAGGTCTTCTATCCAAAGCATACTTCACGAAGAAGGATACCACGCGTACCACATTCGACGAGTCCAAAGTTTACTACCTGCAGACTATCAATTGCGCATTAATTTTTGCCAAACCATGTTACAAAACACGAAGAGGATCCTGGTTTTTTCGATAAAGTACTATGGTCGGATGAATCAAAGTTTGAGCAATGTGGGATATTCAATATCCATAATTGCCATACGTGGGCGATTGAAAATCCACACTCTGCGAGAGCTTCAACGTTCCAACATCATTTTAGCGTTAATTTGTGGTTGGGGTCCTCAATGGCGAGTTAATCGGTCCATTTGAGTTCCCGAGCAGACTAGATGGAACAATCTACAAAAACTTCTTGGAAAATGAACTTCCATTGTTACTGGAAGACGTAAATCTTGAACTTAGACGCAGTATGATGTTCCAAAATGACGGCGCCCCTTGTCACTACGCCGTACAAGTACGAAATTTCTTAAATGCAACGTACCACAACAGGTGGATTGGACGCGGTGGTCCAATTTCGTGGCCTCCACGGTCACCGGACCTTAATCCCATAGATTTTTCATTTGGGGCTACTACAAGGAAGTAGCATACGCTCGTGAATGTCACAATGAACAAGAATTAAGGAAGAAGCTTTGCGAAGCCCAACGTGTGGTCAGGCATAACAGAGAAGCTTTTAGAAGATTGAAACGCAATTTTTTACGTAGGTGTAGGTCATGCATTGCTGCTAGAGGTGGTCACTTCGAAAACTTACTGTAAAGTTTAAAAAATAAATTTTTCTACATTTTCATCTACTTTTTACATTATCGTTAATTTTCCTTGATCAATCTTATTTTCCTACATTCTCTCATCATTAATTAGCCTCATGAATGATGATTATGGCAAAACATTAAGTTGGCTAATTTTAATAATTTTCCAACTTGCTGTCTTTGAAGACCGATTTTAGCCAAATAAGTCCTATTAAATACAATTTTTTTATGATTATGAAAGCTGGGAGCCTGTCACATATTTTTAACAGGCTTAGATTTTGAAATGCATACTAGTTTTTACGGAATTTATCGCGTGTATTAAACTTTTTAATTACCCGACGTTTCGAACGCTTTACAGCACTCATGGTCACGGGCAGGACTGAGATGTTCAACGTCCATATGTCATAGTTAACCGCGGTTACCATAGATTAAAATTTAACTTTTGTTCCGATCTATGCAGTATGAACTTATGGTATCTTGAAGTCTTGCAGTTGTATGCTTGGGTTGGGATTTAATTTTATTTATTATAGGATCCCAAGCAGATGGTAGCATCCAGCCATCTTCTCTATTGAAATTAGGATGTTTTTTGATTTCAATAGCCTCGCGAATCATCCTTGGAAGGAATCGGTGTTCTTTAGCGAGGATCTGCGGTCTATCAAATCTGATGTAGTGACGGGGGCGATCCTGTACGTGTTCACAGACTGCAGACTTCCCGGAGCGTCGATTCTTCACATCAGCTATATGTTCTTTAACGCGGGTTTTTATTGATCTTTTAGTTTGTCCTATGTAGGAGAGACCACATTCACAATCAAGCTTGTACACTCCTGCATCTTGCAGAGGGACATTACACTTGACCGATGGTAAAAACTGACCAATCTTCTTCAGCGGCTTGAAGTATGTTTTGATGGAAGCGCGTTTCAAGATGTAGCCAATCTTGTCAGTGACTCCTCTAACATATGGCAGTACAGCAGGTACACGCTCGACTGTGGCCGGCTTCAATCGTTCACTGTGACGTAGGCGCGGGACTCGAAGCTTGTTGTCATGCAAAACTTGCTTGACATGGTGGAGCTCTGCAGCCAGGTGTTTACTGTCACAGATCCATCATACTATATTCATACTGCATAGATCGGAACAAAAGTTAAATTTTAATCTATGGTAACCGCGGTTAACTATGACATATGGATCTCAGTCCCGCCCGTGACCATGAGTGCTGTAAAGCGTTCGAAACGTCGGGTAATTAAAAAGTTAAATACACGCGATAAATTCCGTAAAAACTAGTATTATTTGTGTAGTGTTCGCGTAAATATAAGAAATCCTTAGATTTTGAATTTCCACCTTTTTAGATTTTTAATTTAAAGTTAAAAATTTAAGACATAACTCACAAAACGTAAATTTTTAACTTTAGACCAAAAATTTCTTTATAAATTTTTAACTTTAGACCAAAAATTTCTTTACTTTTAGTAAAGATACGAAGTTGATTATTTTATGCGTAAAAGGACAACTTATGAAGACTCATTTTCAAAAATAAAAAATCTCAAAAATTTTCAATTTTTTTTTAATTTTTTAAGACAGTCAAGTCGAAATTTACCAAAAAATTTAAAGAAAATTATAACTCGAAAACTATCAAAAATCGCGGAACATACATGGGGGTAATTCGAATACCCCACGACCTGCCGGACCTAAAAAAAATTTTATGACGTCAATTGTCCGGCCACCCTGTATGTATAATGTTATAGTTGTGGCGGCTGCGTCCGCCACTATAAAAAATAGTCACAAATATATCCCCGTTTATACGACACGTGTCTTCATTTTATTGCAACCTTAATTGTAAACCTTAGTGGACTTAACAATTAATTAATTAATTAAATACAGTATTCATAAGAATGTACATATCTAAATTGAGATTTTGTAAGTTACGCCTTTTGACACTCGGCTCATATCTGAGGTCATTGTCCGTTTTTCTCAATCGATTTGGCACGTAATATAGTGTGATTTACCACCTAGAACTTCATTATCACTTTTCAACAAGTGGGATTATGGTCAAACACTGACTTACAACAAGTTAAAAAAATTAAACGCACGAACTTGGAAAATTATGTCAATTAAACACCGGACAAGAGGCTATCAGCGATCGACCGACTGCATTGTTAGTGTGCGTACATCGATTCGGACATTTTTACGAAGTTAATTTAATGCTTTAGCTATATATTTGTACCGTAGCGTTAACTATTTATCTATTAATATAAATATAATTCATACAAATATACACAATATTGAACATTGTGTCAACTTTGGTTTCGAACTTGTTATTGATATGAGGGATAGTTTTAACACTATACACATTTACTAGAATAACGCTCTTCTATATTATATGTGCTTTATGAACTTACAAATATTTATAAAACAATCTTTTGTTGTAATACTCTAAAAAACTTAATACTTATCGAATCACATGCTATATTTATCTAACTTTATTTTGATCACATCAGTTTGAAGAATCAAAATATGTATGTCCCCTTTAAGTTTATGTTGAACCATATCGAGTGATAAGGCGAAAAAAATTCTATAGATTAAAATGTTGTCTTTTTAAGTCTTCCTTTCAATAATCTAGTCAACGCTATTACAGCATCTATGCAATTATATATTTATATAACATATAAAATTATAACGATAATAATATCCTTAAGATATAAATGTTGTCAAATAGACTGAATTTACATACACAATACAAAGGTGTTATTGTTTTTATGAATTATGTGACAAAAGTGCGTGCATGTACGTGAGCATGCACTTGTCTGCGTGTGCGTTAGTGTGCATACGTGTGCGTGTGCGAGCGCACCTCGAAGCCGAGCTTGTAGGCCTGCAGCAGCAGCTCGCGCACGCGCGCCGCCATGCTGTCGGCGAGCTCGCGCGCCCCCTCGCTCCGCTCGCAGCGCTCGCCCCGTGCCTCGCCCCGCGGCTCGTCCGGCAGTCGGCTGCGCTCAAAGATGTGCTCCGTGTGCCGCACCACGCACTCGCACAAGCGCATCAGGTTCTCCTGATACAAATATAGCACACAATCAACTCAATAATCATCAAATCTATTAAAAAAAACTTCTACGTAAAAAAAAAATAAACAATGTCGTAGAGGGAATACCTGCTATAGTTGTCACGCATGGCAAGCGGGTTGGCCACCGTAGTTTCTCTTAAGCTCTTATCAGAAAAATGTTGCTGCCCATCTTCTGGTTCAATTTCTCCCTACTGCCTTTTACACTACTACACCTTAATGATAATAGACCGGGTGACGACATGACGAAGCACGCAGGTAGTCAATGGATGCAGGTAGTTTTGGGCCTTATTCTACGGGGAAGAACTGCGCTTAGCAGTGGATTTGTGATGCGCTATAACCAAAGTATCATTTTAAAATAAAGTTTCTTGAGAAAAAAGGTTTCTGGAGAAAAAAGCGTATGTATTCACATAGAGCAGCGTACGCAGTTGTGCACGGCGCGGGTGCACGCGTGAAGCGAACGCGAGCGCGGCCTGCGCCACCTGCAGCGTGCGTACTTGCACAGAGCAGCGTGCGTACTCACACAGAGCAGCTTGCGTACTCATACAGAGTAGCGTGCGTACTCACACAGAACAGTGTCCTCAATCGTGCACCGCGCGGATACAGGCGTGCGGCGAGCGCGCAGGCGGCCTGCACCACCTGCAGCATGCGTACTACCACAGAGCAGAGCGCGCACTCACACAGAGCAGCTTGCGTACTTATACAGAGCAGCGCGCAAACTCACAGAGCAGCGTGCGTACTCACACAGAGTAGCTTGCGCAGTCGTGCACGGCGCGGGTGCAGGCGTGCGGCGAGGGCGCGCGCGGCCTGCGCCGCCTGCAGCGCAGCCTCGCGCTCGCACGCGTACACCTGCTGCGCGCCACGGCACAGCGCGTATACCACGTATCTGCGTTAATCAACAAAAGCTATTTCTAACAAAAAATGGACATAGACGGTAAACGAAACAAACGTTTGTTGCCAATCGATTGCTAGTGCCACAGTAGTTTTGTAGTCACAGTTTCCCAAATTTTATCTTATGGAATGTGTTTATGCTAGGTTATGGTATAATAGTGAAGCCAGGGACGGTGTGCAATGTATGATTTGCCTCAACCGTTTATATTTCCCTAGTGCAGAAATAACACACAGGCGGGATTTCGCAAACTAGGGGACAGAAAGGATACTTTAAAATGCAGTACCTGTAAACAGGAGCGAGTCCCAACCCCTCTTCCGAGAAAACAGTATAAGAAAGAATACCATTTCGCGATGATCAAGAGAATATTCGTCTTGAACTTAGTGTAATATAGTAAAAAGGCGTCAATGAAGGAGACGTGTGGTTGGTACTAAAACTTTAATTAGACTACCTCATTATTCTACCTTAACACTAAAGTATATTAACGTGGGAGCACTACACTACACCTCCCACCGACAAAAGAATTAAAAAAATATGCTATCTATATTTTTTTATCAATTCTTAAAATAGATCCTTAAGATTATTCTAAAAAAGGTTAATATCATTATGAAAACGCTAAGACATATCTAGCACGCAAAAATGCATAGTCACAGTAGTATAATTGACATAATCAGGCATAATTATGTATAATATAAAATTATGTTTTGATTTTCACGAAAATTTACAATATTATTTATTCGTATCCGTTATTTATTCGTATCCTTTAGCCATTCATTACACATGTATGTCATTTCTTTCACGTACACGGCTCGCGTATATACATGATCAAGAAAATTACCAATAGCATTTAATTCACTTCTTTACATTTCAGCTCATGTAATTCATTATTTAATTGTACCATAACATTCACGTACACGGCTCGCGTACATACATGATCAAGATAGTGGACAATATTCCTATACAATGCATAATAAATTATCATGTCCCTCATTAAAATACATTAAAACTTATTCCGCATTTAATCGTGTCCGAACAACCTTAAAAAATTAATCGGCTATTAGGTTTTCCAAACTCTCAGCTGATCAGGCTGATTGTATGTGGATATACTAACCTCCGATAATTTTCTTTATCTTACTCTCGCAACTATACATTATCAATATTTTCATTTATAATTACGTATTCCGTAACTTAACCATACATTTAATCACATCTTTTACTTTATATCACAAAATAATCTCGTATAATATTTAGTTACAGTGTCAGTCAGGGATTGAGGTTCACAATATGGGAACAACAAACTTTAATCAATTAGTTGTGTAAAACATTATATATGTAGTGAGTTTCAAAATTGTATTATCCGAAGAAAATACTTTCATAATCTACTGAAATTAGTACTGTTTTCCAAGAAAATAATAAATTATAATAGTTAAAAGGTTATGATTTAAATATTCAAACAATATAAAACCGAAAATAAATTATTACATTTCATATTAAGATAAACAGAACAAAGAAGTCAATGTTAAGCAACGTAATTCATTATAATTAATATAGCAACACACAGATCAAAATACAAATTGTAATCCTAACACCGCAAATATTTGGAGACAAGTTTGTTTTAAATTCCAAAGTACGTATAAGGCATCGTTTGTAATTACATCGGACTAGGATGACACGGTGTGATTCACGTCTAATTTTAAGATAACTTTTACAATATTTTATAATATGAATGCAAGTAAAATGTACCTTAAAAGGATAGTTTTAAACATTTCCTTAATTTACACAGAAGTTTAGAAATAGTTACATTTTAATATTTATGTTTTTACGGAATATATCGCGAAAATCTTAGCTTTTTTTTAAAAATACCCGAGTTTTGCGATAAAAAATTGCTTTAAAACAGCACTATAACAGATATACTTCACACGGGAACGATAGATAATAGTTAAACAGACCAACTGTCATAGTTAACGCGGTTATTATATAATTAATGTTTTAATGCCTTTAGAAAAGAAAAAGATTCTAAAACTTATAATGACTTATAAATATTTTCAAAATTTAAATTCAAGGGAAGAAAACAACGAAATGTATCAATGATATTAACTATAAACTGTGGAGAAATCATGTACGTAAAAATGTAATTTAATATTATTATTTCGTTCTTTTTTGTCAGGATAAAGTAATAAAATAATATAAAACTATAAATGAATAAAAGTAAATATAAAATTGTCAAGCCACATAAGTGCTTAAAATGTAACTTAATTTTTAATACTGTATTATGATTGTATTTTTAAATAATAAAACAAATGTTAAATAATCATTTAAATCACAATTATCCGGTAAATAATTTCTACTTAGTCATATGTTAAACACAGAATATTTTATATTTAATTTTAAGTAAATATAATAGCAAAAAGAATACAAAATAATCTCAAATTGATAAATAAACTTTTAAATGGAATTAAAAATCACGCAAATGCGAAGTTACCTCTCAAATCTTCATTCTTTTCAACACAATTTTTACATCCTTCTGGGTGATGCTCTTTAGAATACAACTGCTGCTTTCCCTTTACAAATGTGCCAGTTAAATTTTCAGTTTTAATTTTCAGTCAGCTTTCAAAAAAATTATTTATTGAGGCCTCTTTTGGTATTCATATCTATTTGTTATCGACATATCCGGTACTGCGTCCATTCCGTTATAATTTTTTTGTCTTCATTATTTAATTAAGTAATTTTTTTCTTCCCACCTTTTAACCAGGCCCGGCGGTGCGCATGCATTGTTTCAGCGCACCGCCTGGCAGGGTCGCCATGTAATACAGTAAAAGGTTTCAATGAAGGAGACGTGTGGTTGGTACTAAAACTTTAATTAGACTGCCTCATTATTCTACCTTAACACTAAAGTATATTAACGTGGGAGCACTACACTACATTAGTAAAATTACCAAACAAATATCGTCACTACCACAGTTGATTGCAAGTATCATGACTATCTATTGACCTTTCAAATCTTAAGGTTATGAAGAGTGAAATAATTGACGTAAAAAACTCCTTAAACCATGTACATACCCCAGTTGAGGGACTCACTAACAAACTGACTGAGATTGATCGTGTAATTAATTTTCTGCAAGAAACTAAAGACGATGTTGCGCATGTTGCACATCGATTCGATTCGACGCGAACAACAATCGATTGGAGACGCTTAAGGTTGCTGTATAAAAATCAGCAAATGTCGCGCCTGAACAATATACTTACATATGTAGGTGTTCCCGTAACCTGGTTCGAAAATCTTTTTACTATTATTTACAAAGTTGGTAGTAAAAAGGTTACAAAATTCCCAAGGAACAGGTCAACTACTCCGCAAGTGTATCTTAAAATAACAATAAAAACAGCAAGAACATTATTATGTCCCTTCACACCCGTTACCTGAGAAATAATTATGCAGCTGCTGCGCTGAGAATGCGCTGGGAGGATTTTCACCAATAACCAACTTACGTTTGAAAATAAACAGTTACTTAATAATGCGAAAACTTGCCAGGGAGAATTTTTTTCCTATACATAAGTGAAAAACTATACAATTTTAACTATTATTTTAATTATTATATATACCCGTTTTGGTCTACCATTTTTTGGGGTTTTGTGTCAGTTTGTTAGTATCTTATTATATTCTCAACAAAGAAAATGAACAGTCCCTATCAACATACCCTTTTAGTCCCTTAATTAACTCATTTATTTTTTGGCCTCGTTAATGTTCTATTTTTATATGAACTGTTGTTAAGGCATCATTGTAGCATCTATTAAAATGATCTATTATAAAGGAGACAATTTCTTTTTATTTGGAGAATGGGCCCACCACAAATTTTAACGACTCTTAATGAAATTCCCTTAAAAGCATTTAGTTCCTCTAATCTATAATTTATAATAGAAATTATAAATTTTAACACATCTTAACGGGAATACTCAGAAATTAACAATTAAAATATAAATCTTACAATAACCTAAAAGCAAAATTAAAGCGACTGTCTAGTACAGGTATGGCGAACCAATCGCACGCGTGCCATTGCCGGAACGTGATCCAATATTTTGGGCACGCCACCAATCACAAAGTTCACTATGAAGTATTGCATTATGAACAAACGCGAGTGATCCTAGTTACATTTTTATAGGGTAAAGGTGACAAACAAGCACCCAGTTCACCTGTCGGTAAGTGGCTGCTGTGAGTCATGGACATCTACATTTAATCTAGATTAAGAATCAAAATGCAGATGCGTTGTCACCCTTGAAGACTAAGATGGAATGCCTCGATTCCAGTAAAATGGGTTTTCTCCGGTTCTCTACACTCACCATACGAAACACAGCAGCATTAAGCTACTATTTTACGCTGGTATTCTGTGAGAGCGTGATCCTTTCCCGGTCGAGCCGACCCATTCATGCTACAACCATAATATAGGTGCAGGGTGGTTCTATCACGTACAAAACATACATTACATTGTAGACTACTATTACTAATGACGCATAGCCCGTTTCATCATCATCATCATTACAGCCCTTCACAAGTCTACGCCTCCCTCAAGGAATGCATAGTTCGTTTACGTATAGCATAATAATCAATTTCGTTGACTCCGTTGTATTTATAAGTTTATTTGTGTTATACTTAGGATTTTACAATCCCAATATATAAGTTATTTGTCATCTAATCTGCAACAACAGAAGTCAAAGAGTTTTTAGTCGATAGTATTTAGTACTATTATTTTCCCAATATTTACGATGTCAAATTTTTTTTTTACGGCACGTCTATTACCTAATTAAACATTTCTTTAGAAATATGGCACGTTGATAAATAAAGATTCGCCACCACTGGTGTAGTACTTTTCATTGGTATTATAAGTTAAATAGTGCACTGTTCAATAATTAATAGTATAAAATGAAGTTGCAGGTACATTCAGCAATTATAGGTACTTTAAGATCGATGGAAGATTATCCACTTTTCCCCTCTCCGGGAGACAGAATGGTGTAATAAGTGGGTGACAGGCGTGAGTGTTTATTAATATTTATTTATTTATTGGAAGATTATTTTAGCAGTTTCAACATATTTTGTTGTATGTTGTAGCGTCTGTATGTGTACAAATGTTGTATGAATAGGCACAATTTTTAACATGTATTGATTGATTGAGAATATAAATCCCAAATAACATTAACATAACATGATTAAAGCCAAGACAAGTAAGGGATAATATGCCCTTTTATAATATCACTAACACACGCTATACCTTTAGTAAGAAAGATGTTTTAAACTGGTTGTGCTAAGGATAAGAAACAGAAAGTATAATTGCACTTCATAACAAATGCAGTGGCATTATTATACTTTGTGTTTTGTAGATCATCATTTCCACAGTAGAATACTAATAGTAAAACAGACCGACATATACGCACCTTGTTAAGATTTTGTTTTAATATGTTTAATTACTCATACGTCTTAAAAACATTAAACCCAAAATGACTGGGTAATAGCATACCCACTAATGGCAAGTAGAATGTTTAGAACTGGTTGTGTTCAGATGGAAGAAAATTATATCACTGTAAGAAAAAGTAGCACAAACAGACATTTGTTGTGGAGGTTTGTTTATATTGATTGATTGGTTAGCATATCCTGAACACTTTTTAAGTCTAGTTATGTAAACATTGATATATATTAAGCTAGACATTTTAAACTGATTAAATAAGAATGAAAAAACTCACTGTATTTATTATAATTGTTCATCATCATAAAGCAGTATATACAGGCAGCCGCAGTGTGTAAATTTTATTTTATAATGAGTTAACTGATTAGTAGTTATCTGACCCTTAATACTATTTAAGCCAAAAAGACTAGGTAATATAATAGATAGACGATTTGATATTAGACTTCAGTATCTATAGACTGCATTTGCATATTTCTGTTACCATTTTGTGTCTGCCTACGGGCAGTTCTGCAAGCTTTCAGCCTGCAGGGCATACAGATTTGTTATAAGCAATCCACCTGAAAAAAGCTAATGAATATTGTAAAGAGTCTATACTAAATAATAATTCTTATCAAAATATTATTTTTTCTATATTTATTGCTTTTAAATGTTTATGTGTGTACTGATTAAGTAAAATGAGAATCTGAGTAACAGGGTGAGAAATTGTGTGATAAATGAAGAGTGTGGTTTGCAAGATGATGCAGTCACCAGGATTAAGAAAGGAATGCTTCGGTGGTTTGGTCATGTAGGAACAATGAATGAGGAAAGAGTGACACAGCAATTTTTTGCAGATGTGAACGGAAGAGTCTGAAAGGAACGTCCTAGGCGAAATTTTATCGACCGACGAGCATTGTGCGTAGGTATATGGATGTGGAAGAGGCGAGAGAGGTATGTCAGGATCGTGCTTAATGGAATTTTGTAGTCTCTGTCTACCCCTCGGGTGACAGGCGTAAGTGTGGATGTTAAGTTTTGTGTTTTTGATTAAGCAATAATTTACATTTCAAACACTATTAAACCCAAAAAAAAACGTATTCGTTTAGGATATTGTTAGGAATCGGAAGGACATTTTCAATAATAAGTCACGCAAATGTGAAATACAAAGCTGGCTACGAAACAATAATATCATGTTCGACGATAAAATTACAAAACCAGGATTGTACCATTTAGTTGTTATTAATAAGCCTCCAAAAACAAATTGTTGACGAACTATTCCGAGAGAACGTCCATGAAGTTTTACGTCTGCCACTCTATCATTGTCTATCCAATCGAATATATATATATATATATATATATATATATATATATATATATATATATATATATATATATATAAAGAATTAGAAAATCTGACAAGGGAGGCTATAAATTCCACCACAGTTTCTGACTGGACAAAAGAGATTAACGATGTTGAAAGATTGGAAAAAGAGCATTGGTGGACGGACCATCTAACAAGAAATAGAATAAAGAGAATTAATAATTTCTCTTGGAGGTAAAATAACCAGCTCTGAAGAAGAAACCATGTCGGAAATTGAAGAAATTAATTATAATAGTAGTGACGATGATTGAATATAATAAAATTAATATTTTTTATATCTTTTTCGTTTATATCTATCTCTAATAATCCACTCATTTATTATTCTTAAATTTAGTTTTTTTAGAAAAACAAAGACATAAAAATTCACTATAGAGCCTATGATATTTTTTAAGAAAAATATATATACTCTTTTTTTGCTAATAGTCCCATCACGATGACGTCACAGCGTGAGTCCGCAGTTAAGTCGGACGGGTTATATGTTGTTTCCTCCTATATGAAATGTAAATGTCATACAAGCAAGTTTAGTCCCTGCGAATAGCAATATAAAGTATAGTCACTTTTTCATTTTGACAGAAGTATTACATTCTGTAGTGTAACGCTAACTAATTTTATAAAAACATAGGGCTCACCTCGATTCTTCTTTTTCGTTAGGAACTTCGATTTCCATGAGGCTGGCGAACTTTTCATCAAAACGCTGCACCAGCCGCTGTAATTGTTTGCACGCGATGTCGCTGCAATGCAAATTAAGTTATAATTAATATAGTTGCATAGAACATACACAGAGACGCGTGTATGTATGTGTGTGTGTGTGTGTGTGTGTGTGTGTGTGTGTGTGTGTGTGTGTGTGTGTGTGTGTGTGTGTGCGCGCGCGCGTGTGTACGTACAGGTGTATAAGTGTACGTATACGAACGCTGCTCGCGCGGCAGCGATGCGCTCGATAAAGGCGTGTGTACGCGTGTGCTTGTGTGTATGTACGTACAGTTGTGCGTATGCGTCATTAAGTAAACGTGTGCGTGTGCATGTGTGAGCACTCATATGCTTGTGGGTGTGTACCTACACGAGTCGTAGCGTGTAAACGTAGTTATGGGTGTGCGTGTACGTGTGCGTGAGGCGGTACACATGTGCGTGTACGTGTGTTCATATACGTGTTCGTATGTGTGTACATACACATGTGCGTGTTGCGTGTATGTATACGTATGCGTGTGTATGTATACGTGTGCGTGTGTACGTACACGAAGGCGGCAGGAGCGTGCGCGGCAACCCGGGGCGCGCGGGCAGCGAGGCGCGCGGTGAAGGCCCACTCGGCAGCGAGCGCGGTGCGCGGCAGCGACTCCGTCTCTGACATGGTGCTCAGGTACGACAGATATTGCTGCGTAGACACACGGTCATTATTCGCCATCATTACAGCCCTTCACTATTCACTAATCCACTGCTGATTATATATAGGCCTCCCAAGTAATACCACAATGCACTGTCCTGAGTTTCGGGCATACAACGTTATCCTGTCTTACACCCCAATCTACAAGCACTTCAGCACTTCGATATACGACAGTCAACTTGGCAGCGCCGAAGGGGATATGGGGGGAAATTTCAACGCTTTCTCTTAACCCACACACGCAAAGCAAAGTGGCAGATTGTATTTCTTTATTATCTCGAAAACTGCACGTAAACGCGGGTCAGAAGGAAAATCGGTCCGTATTACTTCAACAGAGGGTCACCTTTCTTGAAACACAAGACCGCCGCACTTCTGCTCCGCAGTGCCACCATGGGGTACGGAATTAAATAGCTATTGAAAGACTTCAAAACCTGGGTTACCACTCACTTTCAGAAACTATGCTGTAACTTCGTCATCACCCGGGGCCTTAGCATTTTTAAGGTGCTGGAGAGTTATTCTAATCTCGCTCATACTGAAGTTCAGGATATCATCGGAATAGTGTCGGATAAGTGCTCTTGGATCGTTACTCACACTTGCGTGTGGTTCCAACGATAACGTTTACAGCTGCCCGTATAACCCCTCAATCTCACTCAAAATCTCAGGTGTCCCGGAAAGATGCTACCAAATACTGTCTTCACCTTCGACAGTTAGCTCTTTCTTTCTTGTTTCCGCTCAATCGCTTATTCAATACCCGCCGCATGTATCGGTATATTTGTCTGATAATGATTTCTTAAATTTACGCCGTTACGTTTGACGTCCAAATATCATTGTTAGCCCGGCTACTTTCAGTTTTTGAATATTAATTTTTTGTCCGATCTACGCAACGAAGCTACGAAGCTAGCTTGTGAATGCAACGAAGCTAGATTGTGAATGTGGTCTATCTTACATAGGTCAAACAAAAAGATCTATAAAAACCGCGTGAAAGAACATATAGCAGACGTGAAGCACCCACGCTCCGGGAAGTCTACAGTCTGTGAACGTGTTCAAGGTCGTCTCCACCATTACATCAGATTTGATAAACCACAAATCCTCGCAAAAGAATACCGATTCCTACCAAAGATGATACGCGAGGCTATTGAAATTAAAAAAACATCCTAATTTCAGTAGAGAAGATGGATGGGTGCTGCCATCTGCTCGGGATCCTATAATTAACAAAATTAAACCCAAACCTAAGCATAACACACTGCAAGACTTCAAGATACTGTAAACTCGTTCTGCGTAGATCGGATCAAGAAATTAATATTCAAAAACTGAAGGTAGCCGGGCTAACTATGATATTGGGGCGTCAAACATCTCAGTCCCCCCGTGAACATGGGTGCGGTAAAGCACCCGAAACGTCGGGAATTAAAAATAAGGTAAAGTAGTTAATTAAACGCGATAAATCCGCAAATATACGAGGGTGGATTGAAAAGTACTCGGCCTAACCAAGAAAATAAACACATACTAAATCAGTTATATTTTTATTTTTCTACATAATCACCATCAAGTTCAATACACTTTTGCCACCTCCCCTTCCAAGCATTTAGACCGTTGAAAAAAAAATGATTCTTCCTTAGAGTCAAAATATGCGTCTACAGCTGCTTTGACCTCGTCGTTTGTCGAAAATCTTTGACCTCCCAAGTGCTTTTTTAGGTTAGGGAACAGAAAGAAGTCTGATGGTGCCAGATCAGGTGAATACGGCGGATGCGGTAACAGTTCAAAGCCACAGTTGTGAATTTCAGCCATTGACTGTACTGACGTGTGAACGCGGGCGTTATCTTGATGAAACAGGAGTTTTCTTCTGAGCATTCCTCGACGTTTTTCTTTTATTTCCTCTCGTAAACGACGTAGTAAGGTGCAGTAGTAATTAGAGTTTATAGTCTGACCCCTTTCAAGATAATCAATCATAATCACACCTTTCGAGTCCCAGAATACTGAAGCCATCACCTTATTTGCCGACAAAATCGACTTAGCCTTTTTAGGGGGTGGTGTACCAGGTCTTCTCCACTGTTTTAATTGTTGTTTTGTTTCCGGTGTACAGTAATGAACCCATGTTTCGTCCATAGTAACAAAACGATTCAAAAAATCATCTGCATCGGCTTCAAATAACTCCAAACAGTCGCGTGAAATAGTCAATCGCGTCCTTTTTTGTTCAACTGAAAGCAGTCGCGGAACCCACCTCGCAGACACCTTGTGGAAACCCATCTCGTTGACAATGATGTTTTGAGTTCGTTCATAAGAGATGCCTATAATTTCGGCTATCTCTCTAATTTTTAATCTGCGGTCTCCCATTATTAAATTAAGTACTTTTTTTAATATTTTCGTCAGTAGTTGACGTCGAAGGCCTTCCAGAGCGGGGTTCATCTTTCACACTCTCTCTACCACGCTTAAATTCTGCTATCCATTTTTTGACGGATGAATATGACAGAGCACAATCGCCTAATGTACTGACCATGTCATCATGGATGGCTTTTGATGATAGCCCCTTCTTATGGAGGTACTTAATGACGGCACGCTGCTCGATTTGCTCCATTCGCGGAAATTATGTCAGATTATTTGTTAATAAATTTATAAAATCACAACTAATTATCGCACACGTTTCGAACTTCACACAATGAACTAGTCTGAACTGAACTAAATAATGTGGGTAGATTTGATTTTTAGAATTGAATGGATCTGTGTTAGGTCGAGTACTTTTCAATCCATCCTCGTAGTTTAATTCAATATATTTGTCTGTTAAGTAGACTGTATGCTGTCATATCTGCTGAAGACTGGAGCTTTAATTCCCGTCTAACAGCGATTAGATTTTGATTATGATCGGAGAGTTTTTTGGTCCTTCTGTGCCAGGGCTAACTCCAACCGCGTGAACTGTTTCCACAAGCTAGTCATTCATATCATTCACTGTATTGCAATCTCCTAGGCACTAAGAAGAGGTTTTGTTATTCGAGCAGTAAGTTTCCGGGGCTTTAGATTCGAGCACGAGGGTATGGAGCGTTGACTCCATTAGACGTGACCTTCCCAACCAACATTAGTGTATAATGTGTCTCTAACCATTCGGTGATCGCTACCAGTTTTCACCCTCGCGAACACTGAGACATCACTGTACAGGTGCCATCTGGTCGTCATAATGAAGTCGATCTTATTTTTTATCGAACCATCGATGCTCGACCAGTTTCACTTTCTGTGGAGTCGCTTCTAGAAGAAACAGTCCATCAAAAAGAGTCTCTCTTTCTCCATGAAGTCGGCCAGCTGTTGGCCCCTTGAGTTCCGTTGCCCTAAGCCGAATGTTGCCAGGTCGTGTCGTCTTAGGTGGCAACCGAACCTCAACCGAAGATTCTTAGCAACCCCTGTCCTGCCGTTATCATGACCGCTACCATAGCCAGCAAAAGCGAGGCCGCCGGGGATAAGGGGCAGTCTTTTTGTAACTCTCGCCATCGTGGTATATTGCCACCTGCAGATTTTATTTATAATTTGCTAGTATTAAAAAGATGGTACTGTCCAAGTCCTGCCTCAATTTCTCTCTTTCGCCGCTTGCGAAGCTCACGGGAATATATGGGGTAGTGGATATTCGTACACCGCTAATACACGACACACAATGCACAGTTACATTACCATAATATTTTAAGAGTCTGTTAAAAGTCCACTGCTGGACATAAGCCTCCCCTATAGACTACCACATAGGATAAAACTTGCCATAGTTGCCACGCTTGGCAAACCCATTTGCAACCTCAGTTTTTATTTTGAGTTGTTTAAAGGAAGATATTTGACCTTTCCAAGGCCTTCAACTGTGTTCACAATGAGACATTAATCAGGAAGCTACAGTACTATGGTGTCAAAAACATAGCGCTTAAACTTATTATTTCATATTTACGTAATAGAACGCTGAAAGTTGTTATCTACGGTAAACGTTCTTCCGGGTCACCTGTACTAATTGGAGTTCCTTAAGGCTCAATTGTCGGCCCATTCCTATTTCCAATCTATATAATTACTTGCTAATGACACTTTTTTAAAAAAATAGGGGTGAAAAACGAGCACACAGTCCACCTGACGGTGCATGCCGTGGACCATAAATATCTACATTTATACTTCATTATGAATCAAAGTACAGATACGTTGTCACCCCTGAGGACTGAGATGGAATGCCTGCTTTCCAGTAAAGAGGGTCTTCGGTTCCCTACACTCATCATACGAAACACAGCAGCATTAAGCTGCTATTTTACGCTGGTATTCTGTGAGAGCGTGGTCTATCCCGGTCGAAGCGACCCATTTGTGCAGCAATCATAATATAGCTCTAGCGTGGCTCTTTCATGTAATATAAAAAAATGTAGTTGTACTGGCTGTAAAACTAAAGTCTGTGATTATATACTTTGGTAATAAAATTACAAATTTGGAAAACCCAAAAATGCACACCTCGAACGCTTATGTATGTTTTGAACAATCAATTTACTTTCGTTAAGTAAGCCGCAAAAAATTGTTTCTGTTTAATTAACACGACTTTTTTTGACTGCTTGATACCGGTGATTCGTATTTTGCAACCGAAAAAAATTGTCAAATATTAATGAACAGCACGGTTTACAATAGTGAAATCCAAAAGGCTTCTTACGGATTAATATCTAAAGCTAATAAAAATCGGAGTGAGAAGTTCAGTTTTTTCCAAAAGATATATTGTTCACATCCATTCTCTTTTTTGATTTCAGTTGAGTGGGTCGCGATTTTTTGATTTGGTGACAATAGAGCACGACATATCCGCTTCGCGTTCGTTGTGTACCTAATTCATTTAGATTGTCTACTACAAGAATGTATTTTAACGTAACGAAATAAACACCATGATTGTATAATCGATGCACAATTGTTTAACATAATAAGGATTATATCATGCAGGTTAGACGAACATTAATATTCAACATTATGTATAATCTCTTTTTTATTCAATTTTTCTATTTTTTGTGGTGGCATGGTAAAATACGCCAATGACATTCGAAATTCGAAAACAATAAACGGAAGAGTTTACTTAATTAAAATAAGAGTATATAATACAAGAGTTTACTTTTCCACCTAGAATTTTGGAAAATCTATAATTTATGTTGATTACCTACTATAAAACTGGTGGAAGTGATTTCAGATTTTCATGTAAAACAAATGACAGAGGTCTTAGAACCTTACTAGTATGTTGAGTGACAAAGTATTAAAGTTCTATGTTACTATTAAAATCTAAATTAAACTAAAGGTAGAATAAAATCACAAAATATACACAACAGCAATTTTTATATATGTTAAAAGAGACTTAAAATCTGAGGCTCTAGGGATTTAAGGAAGCTTATCTATTCTGTGTAACTTCATCGACGGTGTTCAAAAACTTAAATATTGCAAGTCAGCGCTTTAGAGTAATCAATTAAGCTGCATTTAGGAACAAATACCTTATGTATTCAACAAGTTACTCAATATAACTTGACAATACCAAATGGCTTATTTTGTAATCCCGAATTTATGTCAGCCATAGCAGGTAGCTGGTATAGATGATGCACATATTTTGTTATTTTGTAATAACCGGTCAAATTAGCAGAGAAGGTTCAAAATAAGTAATATAGGCATATATACATTTACATTAAATTAGGCACAGGAAGAAAATAATTTAAAAATCACAAACATCCTGTTTTTTTTTTAATTTTTTAATTCAAAATTCATATGCATTGTTTTAACTCATTTTACTGCGCACGCAAACATTCGTAAGGGTTGATCGGTAAGCGAAAATGTTGTTGCCCATAGTCAATTTGGAATAATTTAAAATAAAAGTGGAATCCTTACTGTCTTTTTGAAACTGCAATAATGTTATATCTTTATTTATATGTATGAACTTAAGTTTAAACTATTGCTATACTTTGAAAAGTAACGCTGTATTTATGAGTAAAAGTAGTAATTACTTAAACAAGAAGCAAATATACAGTTAATACACAAGTATCATAACTTAGTTAAGCCATTTTTACTTGTGTAATGGTAATATCCTTGATATTTTTGATCACAAGAAATCAGATGCTTCTATTATAATTACACTGCTGTGTTGTTAACTCTGCAGAAAGGAATATTACTTTGTCATCTACCATCTCATACTTAATTTTAAAAATAATTTTGTTTTCTCTTAAACGAAACTAGAGAATATAGAAAGTAGACAACTTGTACATAGCAAATATTGTTGTAGGTAAAGCCATAATTACTACTTCTTTATTTTATCAACTGGAGCTTATTAATGGTTTATTGCATGCCTTATAACATAACGTTTCGCGTTATTAGGCAGTGCTTTACTCTCGACAGGTCAAGCAATTTTGGGTTCTTAAAATGCCTCATCATAACCATATTGCACTTATATGATAGCATGAGTAGCCGTATATCAAGAAAACACATCGGTCAGACCGAGATAGGACCACGCTCGCACAGAATACCAGATTAAAATAGTAACTTAATTCTGTTGTGTTTCGTATGGTGAGTGTAGAGAACCAGAGATCGTTTTACTGGCTACGATAGTCCTAAGAGCGGAAACGAATCTGCATTTCGATTCTTAATCGAGGATAGATGTAAATGTGTACGAGCATCAGCATCCACTTAGCATCAGGTGAAGTGGGTGGCGGAGCTGTGTCCGGCACTGAAGCGGCGCAGCGCCGCATGCCGCACGGACGTGTGTGAGCTGAGTTGTATGTGAGACAAGGGCGCACCTGCAGCGCGGCGGCCACGGTCTGGTCGAAGGTACGCAGCAGCTGCAGCAGGCCGTCGCGCACTCGCCGCAGCCGCACGGACGTGTGTGAGCTGAGTTGTATGTGAGACAAGGGCGCACCTGCAGCGCGGCGGCCACGGTCTGGTCGAAGGTACGCAGCAGCTGCAGCAGGCCGGCGCACGCCGCATGCCGCACGGACGTGTGTGAGCTGAGTTGTATGTGAGACAAGGGCGCACCTGCAGCGCGGCGGCCACGGTCTGGTCGAAGGTACGCAGCAGCTGCAGCAGGCCGGCGCACGCCGCATGCCGCACGGACGTGTGTGAGCTGAGTTGTATGTGAGACAAGGGCGCACCTGCAGCGCGGCGGCCACGGTCTGGTCGAAGGTACGCAGCAGCTGCAGCAGGCCGGCGCACGCCGCATGCCGCACGGACGTGTGTGAGCTGAGTTGTATGTGAGACAAGGGCGCACCCGCAGCGCGGCGGCCACGGTCTGGTCGAAGGTACGCAGCAGCTGCAGCAGGCCGGCGCACGCCGCATGCCGCACGGACGTGTGTGAGCTGAGTTGTATGTGAGACAAGGGCGCACCTGCAGCGCGGCGGCCACGGTCTGGTCGAAGGTACGCAGCAGCTGCAGCAGGCCGGCGCACGCCGCATGCCGCACGGACGTGTGTGAGCTGAGTTGTATGTGAGACAAGAGCGCACCTGCAGCGCGGCGGCCACGGTCTGGTCGAAGGTACGCAGCAGCTGCAGCAGGCCGGCGCAGCGCCGCATGCCGCACGGACGTGTGTGAGCTGAGTTGTATGTGAGACAAGGGCGCACCTGCAGCGCGGCGGCCACGGTCTGGTCGAAGGTACGCAGCAGCTGCAGCAGGCCGGCGCACGCCGCATGCCGCACGGACGTGTGTGAGCTGAGTTGTATGTGAGACAAGGGCGCACCTGCAGCGCGGCGGCCACGGTCTGGTCGAAGGTACGCAGCAGCTGCAGCAGGCCGGCGCAGCGCCGCATGCCGCACGGACGTGTGTGAGCTGAGTTGTATGTGAGACAAGGGCGCACCTGCAGCGCGGCGGCCACGGTCTGGTCGAAGGTACGCAGCAGCTGCAGCAGGCCGGCGCACGCCGCATGCCGCACGGACGTGTGTGAGCTGAGTTGTATGTGAGACAAGGGCGCACCTGCAGCGCGGCGGCCACGGTCTGGTCGAAGGTACGCAGCAGCTGCAGCAGGCCGGCGCACGCCGCATGCCGCACGGACGTGTGTGAGCTGAGTTGTATGTGAGACAAGGGCGCACCTGCAGCGCGGCGGCCACGGTCTGGTCGAAGGTACGCAGCAGCTGCAGCAGGCCGGCGCAGCGCCGCATGCCGCACGGACGTGTGTGAGCTGAGTTGTATGTGAGACAAGGGCGCACCTGCAGCGCGGCGGCCACGGTCTGGTCGAAGGTACGCAGCAGCTGCAGCAGGCCGGCGCACGCCGCATGCCGCACGGACGTGTGTGAGCTGAGTTGTATGTGAGACAAGGGCGCACCTGCAGCGCGGCGGCCACGGTCTGGTCGAAGGTACGCAGCAGCTGCAGCAGGCCGGCGCAGCGCCGCAGGCCGCACGGACGTGTGTGAGCTGAGTTGTATGTGAGACAAGGGCGCACCTGCAGCGCGGCGGCCACGGTCTGGTCGAAGGTACGCAGCAGCTGCAGCAGGCCGGCGCACCGCCGCATGCCGCACGGACGTGTGTGAGCTGAGTTGTATGTGAGACAAGGGCGCACCTGCAGCGCGGCGGCCACGGTCTGGTCGAAGGTACGCAGCAGCTGCAGCAGGCCGGCGCACGCCGCATGCCGCACGGACGTGTGTGAGCTGAGTTGTATGTGAGACAAGGGCGCACCTGCAGCGCGGCGGCCACGGTCTGGTCGAAGGTACGCAGCAGCTGCAGCAGGCCGGCGCAGCGCCGCATGCCGCACGGACGTGTGTGAGCTGAGTTGTATGTGAGACAAGGGCGCACCTGCAGCGCGGCGGCCACGGTCTGGTCGAAGGTACGCAGCAGCTGCAGCAGGCCGGCGCACGCCGCATGCCGCACGGACGTGTGTGAGCTGAGTTGTATGTGAGACAAGGGCGCACCTGCAGCGCGGCGGCCACGGTCTGGTCGAAGGTACGCAGCAGCTGCAGCAGGCCGGCGCACGCCGCATGCCGCACGGACGTGTGTGAGCTGAGTTGTATGTGAGACAAGGGCGCACCTGCAGCGCGGCGGCCACGGTCTGGTCGAAGGTACGCAGCAGCTGCAGCAGGCCGGCGCAGCGCCGCATGCCGCACGGACGTGTGTGAGCTGAGTTGTATGTGAGACAAGGGCGCACCTGCAGCGCGGCGGCCACGGTCTGGTCGAAGGTACGCAGCAGCTGCAGCAGGCCGGCGCAGCGCCGCATGCCGCACGGACGTGTGTGAGCTGAGTTGTATGTGAGACAAGGGCGCACCTGCAGCGCGGCGGCCACGGTCTGGTCGAAGGTACGCAGCAGCTGCAGCAGGCCGGCGCAGCGCCGCATGCCGCACGGACGTGTGTGAGCTGAGTTGTATGTGAGACAAGGGCGCACCTGCAGCGCGGCGGCCACGGTCTGGTCGAAGGTACGCAGCAGCTGCAACAGGCCGTCGCGCACTCGCTCGGCGCGCGGCTCGCCGCGCAGCGCTGCCGCCGCGTACCGAACGAACGCGCATCTGATCTCCGTCGCGATGTCCAGACCTTCTTTCAGCTCGTGAATTAGCTGCGAACACACATTATAATTAAGTTCTACTTCACTGGATTGTGCATCTTTATATATATAGCCAGCAGTTTAATTACACTCACGCGACTCACATGGATTGCCACCTATCGATATTCCAATATTTAATGGTAATATTAAAACTTGGCCGTTATTTATTGCTAGCTTTCAAAATAAATACATAATAATCCCTCTTTATCGAATGCCGAAAAATAATACAATTTAATTGGTGAAACTAAGTGGCAAGGCGCAATCTGTATGTGCCGCTCTCACAACAATCGCGGACAACTATTTGTTAATGTTCGAATCGTTGAGAAACAAATACGAAGATAAACTAATGTTGGCCTCTTCATATTTAGACCAAATATTCTGTAAACTATGCAAATATTTATAATCTCGAACAATTTTTAGATAGATTCGCAACGTCGGTAGCCGTTCACAAAAATCTTTAATTTAATGGTCTTGTGGACTTTGTATTTTTACATATTGCATTAAAAAGCTAGACCCGGAAACCGTACTATCGTTCGAAATGGAAAATCGTGGCTCCGACAAACCATCGTTCGACGCACTAGCATCTTTCGTACGAAACCAAATCAAAATAATACAATTTTCATCTAGAACAAAACAAGAAGCAAAAAAATACGCCGACCGTCGAATGGGGATTGGAGGCTTCAATAAAACGGCCTAAGGTTTAGTAAATTAAAAATTTTATTCTCATTCGATCGCAGTATTAATTTATTAGTTGTAGACAAAGTGACCGAGCATCTGCCAACTGCTTCGGTCGACGCCTCCGCAATGACTAATTTCAATAATTTGGCTTTAGCGGATGACACCTACTCGTCCCTAGGGACATTGATATGCTCTTTGGGACATCTATTTTCACACACCTCTTGAGATATAACAAGGTTAAGGGTAACTTCTCGTGTATCGCACTTTACTTATTGGAAACCGTTTTATGTTATGGTATTGTTGGTTCCGTTCCTACTGTTGATAATATTTCGGCAACTTCTTATTGTTGCACCGCTATTGAATCCCTCGAATTATTTCGCGAATTTTGGGAAATTGAGGAAGTGAAGGGGGATAAGTCGCTCGCGTCCGTAGGCTTTGACCACCTGTTCCTAGGCCCACCCTACACGTGTCCCACGGGTGGTGCTAAATGAGCGACAAGCCGATACCACAGACTCGGCTCCACGCCATTGTAGCGGCGTTAAATATACCACCCCATTTCGCACCATGAGGAATCGAATTAAAGAAATGGCCCCGAGTTCCCGGCGCCCCTTTAATGGGGCAGGGGTGCGAAAAATCTCCGGAAGGAAAACCGGCGACGAGGTTCGCCACCCGTCACGTTCTGTCTCCCGGAGAGGCGAAAAGTGGATTGCAGAGGCCCGTCTGGCTACGTTGAATGTATGTGGGGCAATGAATGATAAAATGGATGAAGTATGCGATATGATGTATGATAGAGGAATAGACGTGTTATGTGTAAATGAGACGAAAAGGAAGGGGAAGGATGTCACTACACATGGCATGTATACCGCATACTGGTCTGGTGTAGACGAGATCGAGCGGGCATGCCAGGGAGTAGGTATCATCCTTTCAGAAAGAATGGGCGAATGTGTGAAAGAGTATGAATGTGTAAGCCCAAGACTGCTATGGATACGAATGAAAGTGGGCTTAAAGAAGTTGTTTGTGTTAGGGGTCTACGCCCCAGACATGTCTAAGCCCACTTATATCCGAGAGCAGTTTTGGGAAATGGTAAGGATGGTGTTAATGAAGTGTAAGGAAAATGAAAATATTATTATGCTAGGAGATTTTAATGGAAGGGTTGGGGTCAGGAGGCTTGGTTATGAAAGGATATTGGGAACGTTTGGTGATGAAAGTATAAATGAGAATGGTGAAAGTCTCCTCACCGTATGTATGGAAAAGAATCTTTTTGTGACGAACACTTGCTTTCGCCACAAGAGGATTCACATGTATACTTGGGAAAGAGGTGACGATAGAAGCATGATAGATTTTATAATTGTGGATGAAAGATTGAGGGGCGCAGTGGTAGATACGAGAGTTTACCGGGGTTCTAACGTAGGAACGGATCATTATTTAGTTTTATGCCGAATTAATGGTCTATTCAGGCGTTGGCGCCATCGATCGTCTGTGTCTACCACTGCGTTACAGCGTATTAGAACAGAAAGGTTACAAGATGAAGGCGAGAAAAACAAGTTCAAATGTAGACTGAAAGAAAATATAAGTGGTTTGGATGAATTATGTATGAAAGAGTTAGACTTGGGGAATGTATGGCAAAATGTAAAGAAAGGTTTAGTGGATGCAGCTACCGAAGTATGTGGTGTTAGTAAGAGAAAGAATGAAAGGAAAAATAATACGTTATGGTGGGATGATGAGATACGTATGGAAGTTGAAGCAAAGAAGAGAGCATGGCTAGATTTACTAGCAACAAAGGCTGCTAATTCTAGTGGTACGAATGGTGATATTGAAAGAAAAAAGGCAGTCTTTAGGCATCTTAATAACAGAGTAAAAGAAGTAGTTGAAAGAAAAAAGCAAGAAAGAACGGATAAGAATGATAGAAGAATATCGGATAACTTCCAGGCAAATATTAAAATGTTCTGGAAACTTGTAAGAACTGCCAGGGGATATTCGAAATAGCCTATGATGAATGCTATAAGAGACGAGAATGGCTATATTCTGAATGATGAAGTTTTGGGTTTAAAGAGATGGAAGGAATGTTTTGAAAGCGTGTTTATGAGTGAGGAGACAACGTGTGTACTAAGTGAAGTAGAAACACCGAAAGAAGAGGAAAGAGGTAGCGAGATAAGTATAGATGAAATAACGAAAGCAAAAAAGCATGAAAGCAGGTAAGGCTGCCGGATATGATAGAGTTTCACTCGTTTCACTGATTGAAAGGGTCATGAAAGAAACTGATGGAAAAATTTGGAATGTGCAAGCGGGATTTAGAAAGGAAATGGGATGTACAGATCAAGTCTTTTCCATGCGCATGATCGCGGAGAAATTTCTGCCCAAAAACCAAAAGGTTTTTTGTGCGTTCATGGACTTGGAAAAGGCCTATGACAGAGTGGATAGGGATTTGCTATGGCAAAAACTGAACTCATTTGGATTGAGCGCTGGCTTGATACAGGCATTGGAGTCTCTTTATAGGGACTCTAGTGCTTGTGTTAGGAACAATGGGGTCTACTCGGACTGGTTTGACATCCATAAAAGTGTCAGACAGGGCTGTGTGGCTTCCCCGTAGCTGTTCAACCTATTTATGGACAGTTGTTTGCAAAATTTGAAATTTGAAGAATGCGGATTAAGAATGGGTGGGTTAACCGTCAAATGCCTTTTGTACGCCGATGATCAAGTTATCCTTGCGTCGTCTGCGGCCGAGTTGCAAATGATGGTTATATTAATGAAGGGATCATTAAAAGAAAGGGGTATGAAAGTGAACGCAAGTAAGACGAAGGTTATGGTTTTTGAAAGAGAAGAAAGTAAAACGATTTGTGAAATAAGAATAGAAGGGGAGTTGATCGAGCAAGTAGATGAGTTTGTATATTTGGGCTGCGTATTAAGGATATAACGACGAGTGAATGCGGGAAATAGAGTAAATGGGGCCTTGCACTCTATTGTGAAGAGTCAAAATGTGTCGAAAAAGGCACGTATGGCAATTCACAATGCTGTGTTGGTCCCTACTTTAACGTATGGTAGTGAAAGTTGGGTGTGGCAGAAGAAGCACGAGAGTAGAATAAACGCAGTAGAAATGCGGTCGTTAAGGAGTATGTTAGGGCTGAATCTGAATGACAGGGTAAGAAATTGTGTAATAAGAGAAGAGTGTGGTTTGCAAGATGATGTTGTGACCAGGATTAAGAAAGGAATGCTTCGGTGGTTTGGTCATGTGGAAAGAATGAATGAGGAAAGAGTGACAAAGACAATTTATGGTGCAGAAGTGAACGGCAGAGTCGGAAAGGGACGTCCGAGGCGAAAATTTATCGACCAAATTGGCGATTTATTGAAAACGGGCCAAATTATGAGTACCCTTAACCGACGAGCATGTATGCGTAGGTGTATGGATGTGAAGGAGGCAAGAAAGGTGTCAGGATCGTGCCCAATGGAAGTCTGTAGTCTCTGCTCTCCCCCCCCCCCACTGGGTGACAGGCGTGAGTGTTTATATATATATATATATATATATATATATATATATATATATATATATATATATATATATATATATATATATATATATATGTATATATATATATATATACATATATATATATATATATATATATACATATATATATATATATGAGGAAGTTTGTGTCCGCCCGACCGTTCGTGATCGTGATGGTCGATATATCGTAGCACTATCTTTTAAGGGGGATATTTTATCTCTCGGTGACTCTCATCAAACGGCAGAAAAACGTTTTTATTGTTTGGAGCGCAACCTAGCAACCTATGGCGCAATCATTCTAAATTGCCACTCTAGTACGAGTAGTATACGAAGAAAAGTGTATAACATTTTAAACTTATTTGGAGTACGTTATTACTTACGTTTGTTGTCATTCTATATTAGGGTCTAAGGTTCGCCCTATGAGTTCCGGCCGCCGTAAGACACACGACATCTTCGTTACCTTTGACTCCGTTGTCAACACCTTACCTGGCTGATGTACTCAGCGAGCAGAGTATCAGGGAAGTACTATATTGCGTCAGTGGAAATCAAACGGGTCAACACTCCCACGAATATATATTTTTAATCAATTTTCATTGACGTTTCCATGACGCAGGTGCTTAATATTAAGTAACGGCGCTGAGGGCCATGGGTTCGAACCCAGCACGGAATAAGTATTTGTATGACCAACAAATAATCGTTCCTGGTCTGGTTGTTTGTCCTTGTGCAAATTACGTTTTTAAACTACTTCCAAGGTACACGATAAATCTAAATTTGGCCATCACATTGGTAGTAAAAGATGATATGGCACTGGGGCTGACCTGCTTGACGGTGAGGCAGGAGGGGTGCGCGGGGCGTGCCTCCAGGCGCAGCGCCAGGTAGTCGTGCACGGCCTCCATGCACATGCTGCTGAGCAGCACGAAGTGGCTGCGGTACGACGGCAGCCGCATGTCCACGCTCTCGCGGCACCGGCATCCGTACCTACAATAAACGTCGTGCACTACATTTCTCAAAGTACAAGCATACTACTCTGTCAAGAAAGTACCGGGAAAAGATCAATAATACACAAAATGTTAGTTATTCATCCAAGTTTATTTATCATCTTCGAAGTATGCTCCTTCAGAAACGATACACTTTCTCCAACGAAGAATCCAATCATCAAAACATTACTCGTATTAAACGCTTTTTCCGGAATTAAGTTCAGTTTTCGCTGCGAATTCTCCTTTATGTCTTTTACCGAATGATACCTAGGTGGATTGAAAAGTACTCGGCCTAACACAGATCCATTCAATTCTAAAAATCAAATCTACCCACATTATTTAGTTCAGTTCAGACTAGTTCATTGTGTGAAGTTCGAAACGTGTGCGATAATTAGTTGTGATTTTATAAATTTATTAACAAAGTAATCGGACATAATTTCCGCGAATGGAGCAAATCGAGCAGCGTGCCGTTATTAAGTACCTCCATAAGAAGGGGCTATCATCAAAAGCCATCCATGATGACATGGTCAGTACATTAGGCGATTGTGCTCTGTCATATTCATCCGTCAAAAAATGGATAGCAGAATTTAAGCGTGGTAGAGAGAGTGTGAAAGATGAACCCCGCTCTGGAAGGCCTTCGACGTCAACTACTGACGAAAATATTAAAAAAGTACTTGATTTAATAATGGGAGACCGCAGATTATAAATTAGAGAGATAGCCGAGATTATAGGCATCTCTTATGAACGAACTCAAAACATCATTGTCAACGAGATGGGTTTCCACAAGGTGTCTGCGAGGTGGGTTCCGCGACTGCTTTCAGTTGAACAAAAAAGGACGCGATTGACTATTTCACGCGACTGTTTGGAGTTATTTGAAGCCGATGCAGATGATTTTTTGAATCGTTTTGTTACTATGGACGAAACATGGGTTCATTACTGTACACCGGAAATAAAACAACAATCAAAACAGTGGAGAAAACCTGGTTCACCACCCCCTAAAAAGGCTAAGTCGATTTTGTCGGCAAATAAGGTGATGGCTTCAGTATTCTGGGACTCGAAAGGTGTGATTATGATTGATTATCTTGAAAGGGGTCAGACTATAAACTCTGATTACTACTGCACCTTACTACGTCATTTACGAGAGGAAATAAAAGAAAAACGTCGAGGAATGCTCAGAAGAAAAGTCCTGTTTCATCAAGATAACGCCCGTGTTCACACGTCAGTACAGTCAATGGCTGAAATTCACAACTGTGGCTTTGAACTGTTACCGCATCCGCTGTATTCACCTGATCTGGCACCATCAGACTTCTTTCTGTTCCCTAACCTAAAAAAGCACTTGGGAGGTCAAAGATTTTCGACAAACGACGAGGTCAAAGCAGCTGTAGACGCATATTTTGACTCTAAGGAAGAATCATTTTTTTTCAACGGTCTAAATGCTTGGAAGGGGAGGTGGCAAAAGTGTATTGAACTTGATGGTGATTATGTAGAAAAATAAAAATATAACTGATTAAGTATGTGTTTATTTTCTTGGTTAGGCCGAGTACTTTTCAATCCACCCTCGTAACGGGTGCCACGAAGTGGTAATTTGAATTTAGGAAAAAGAAAAAAGTCGGCTGGAGCCATATCTAGTGAATAAGGTGGTTGCTCGATGGTATTCGTTGAGTTGTTGGTCAAAAATTCGTTCACAACGATGACCTTGTGCGAAGGCGCATTATCGTGCTGCAAAATCCAAAAATTTTCTTTTCACAAATCTGGCCTCGTCTAATTTGCTCTGTTAAACGCCGCATAACGCTCAAATAATATTCTTTATTTACCGTTTGACCTCCCGGCAAAAATTCAGAATGCACATCACCGCGATAGTCAAAGAAAACAGTCAACATGACTTTGACTTTTAATCGACTTTGGCATGGTTTTTTCAGTTTCAGTTCAGTTAGAAGGCGCCACTCTGAAGCTTGTTGACTAGTTTGCATGTCAAACTCGTAAACCCACTTCTCGTCACTAGTAAAACTGTGTTTCATGAATGTTGGGTCGGAATTGACTTGTTCTAGGATGTCTTCAGCGACTCTTACGCGATGGAGGTTTTTGGAGAAAATTCAGGTATTTTGGAACTAGCTGAGCGGCCTCATGTTTCATACCAAAGTGATTATTTAAAATGGTAAGGATCGACTCGTGGGACACAAAAAATGCGGCGGCTATCTCTTTCAAACTTGAATGAGGAATTTCAATCACTATTTCCTTCACTTTTGCGATGTTAACTTCAGTTGCACGATGATGGCCGCAGAGCGAGGAAAATCTGCCATCACTTCTCGACCACATTTGAACGCTTTTTGCCAATCATATGCACGTGTTTTTGATAAAGTCGATTCAGTGTAAGCTTTCTGTAACATTTTCAGTGTCTCCGGACACGAAATTCAAAATTTAAGACAAACTTTTTGTTCGATGTTTTTACCCATTGTGAAATCCGCAATACACACTAGATATGATGTAACTAAAAACAGCACTGTGCTTAATCTAAATAAAAGATGTAACTCAAACTCCGCGCCCAAATGGAAAACAGTTGTACCGATCTAACAACGACCAAAACATTGGAACCATTAACAAATCGTCCACTCCGGATACTTTTTGACTGCATGTATATTATTACTCCTAGGGCAATGTTCAACACTTATTACTTTGTTTTTTACTATTCTAAACCAGCGCTTGAGTACAATCCCACCTGATGGTAATTGGTGATGTAGCCGAAGATGGTAGCACACTGACTTAACAAAAACCTATTCACTCTTGCCTTGAAGATACCCACACTGTAATCGGATGGAAAGACAGATGCTAGCAACTTATTCCACTCCTTTGCTGTACGCAAAACGAACGATGTAGCAACCGTTTGGTGAATGCGTGGTAAGGCAACAACGAACTGGTGGAGACTAGCAGAGCGTCTGGTTGTCCGATGGTGAAAGGGAGAGAGAAGAATTAAGTTATGCAATTCCTACACACACTTTCTAGTCTGTGATCAAACTATAACACAGAATAGGGTCTGTCGCCAAAAAATGTTAAATGTTGCCAATAAATTACTGTGAATTTTGTGTTATTTGTCAAGGCAAATAAACGTTTATTTTATATTGTTATGTGCGGGGTGAGTAAAAAATGCCGTTTAAAGTGAGAAATGGATGTATACACAGAGCAAGTATATACAATTACGTCGTTTAAAATCGAGAATAAGCATCGAATATTCATAGGCGCTTCTCTAAATAGAGTTCACTTTCGCGTTCCCGAAATAACTAATTCTCAGATCGCCGGCACAAGTTTTTTTTATTCGATCAACGTATAAAAAACTTTCTATTTCAATACAGGGCATTCCACACTTTCAATGTCGTTAAGAAATAGAACACTCGCGATAAGGTACATAATCACACATATTGTATACACATAGAATATAAAAAACAAGAGGAAGTAGCAAAACGCATATATTGTAACAAAACCACTATACAGTCACATTTTTTTTTTTATAGAAGAAGGGGCAAACGAGCATGTGGCTCACCTGATGTTAAGTGACTACCGCCGCCCATGATCAACCGCAACACCAGGGGAATTGCGGGTGCGTTGCCGGCCCTTTAGAAAGGAGTAAGCTCTTTTCTTGAAGGTCCCCAGGTCGTATCGGTCCGGAAAAATCGCCGGTGGTAAACTATTCCACAGAGAGGTTGTACGTGGAAGAAAACTCCTTGTGAAACGTACAGTGGTGGACCGCCAAGCATCCAGATGGTGTGGATGGTATCGGGACGTTTGACGTGTAGTGCGTTCACGAAATTTGGCGGCTGGGATTAATCGGAACAATTCCTCAGAGCACTCCCCGTGATAGATGCGATAAAATACGCAAAGAGATGCAACATCTCTTCGCAGCGCCAGTGAATCGAGCCGATCGGAAAGCACTCGGTCGTCGACGATTCGAGCCGCTCTGCGCTGGATGCGGTCAAGTGGAAGAAGCTGGTACTGGGGAGCCCCAGCCCAGAGATGGGAACAGTATTCCATGTGCGGCCGAACCTGCGCCTTGTAAAGTTGCAGGCGGTGTGCCGGCATGAAATACTGTCCCGCTCTGCTGAGCACGCCAAGCTTTTTAGAGGCCAATTTGGCCTTCCCTTCCAAGTGACCACGAAACTGCACGTCACTCGATATGTCGACGCCGAGGATTCCGATACTGTCTGAGGCAACAAGGGGAGTGCCTTGAAACTGAGGCGATACGACAAAGGTTTTTAGCGGTTAACGCGCAAACTTGTGTCTTCTGGGGGGTTAAACTGGACTAGATTTAGTCGCCCCCAATCCGAGACTCTGTCCAGCAGAGACTCGACTTCAGACACAAGTTTGTCCCGGCACTCGGAGACGTTTTCCCGAGAAATATTGGCTCGGCCGGTGTAAAGAGCATCACCAGTGCTGTCATCTGCATAGCAATGAATGTTACGGGTACGCAACATGTCATTGATATGCAGAAGAAACAGCGTTGGCGATAGCACACAGCCCTGTGGAACACCAGCATTAATAGGCTTGCAATCGAAGCTTGCACCGTCTACAACGACCTTGATGCTCCGATCTGCAAGAAAGCTGGTGATCCAATCGCACAATTTCTCGGGAAGCCCATAGGAAGGGAGCTTCGAAAGAAGCGCTTTGTGCCAAACCCGATCGAAGGCCTTCGCAATGTCCAAACTAACGGCCAATGCCTCCCCCTTGAACTCTACTGCCTCCTCCCATCTGTGAGTTAGGTAGACCAGAAGATCACCAGCTGACCGACCACGGCGAAAACCGTATTGGCGGTCACTAATCAGCTGGTGATCTTCAAGGTACCTCATGAGCTGGCAGTTTACAATGGACTCCATTGTTTTGGAGAACAAGGAGGTGATAGCGATTGGCCGGTAGTTGGACGGGTCAGAGCGGTCGCCTTTTTTAGGGATCGGGTGGACGTAAGCCGTCTTCCATGATTTTGGGACTACGCCTAAGGAGTAGGAGTACAGGAAA